GTTAGGCAGAAGGCTACGTCCGGAAGACGAGGACTCTTATCGAGTAGAATCCCGATCTGAGTAACCTGCAAACCAGGACGGTTATACAACACGTGACCACGACGGACATGTCACTGACACGCTATAACATGGCAGCGCTACGACAGGACATGGCAGTGCTACGACATAACATATCGGCGACATGACATATCATGGCGATGCCATGACGAAGGATAGGATATAAGGACACTCTCTCATGTACTTAGCTAGTTCTGTTCTTCGTGCTCAATCTAATTATCTTTAAGTAACCATATGTTTGGTAAAGCTTAGCGACAACACTCGTCCGCACTTACTTACAGATAGCTGCGCGGCACTATCTGGCCTTACTTCTCTTCTCTTGTTCAAGATCAAGTCACCTTTAGATAGTCAACGACCTGACTACCTTGATTCAGTTCACAGGTACGTATTAGAACGGGAGCTAAGCTAACAGGAACAGAGAGGAGCGATCCTAGGGTTTGACACTTGGTTACTGTTATTATTTATACAACTATACTTAAGATGTTATTTTTCTTTAAGTTATCTTTAATACCTGGCGCGTTAAACTTTTATAGCATTCTCAACCTTCTCATGATAAGTTGCTTAGTTCTTACTTTAATTTCTTGCTGTATAGTAGGCCGTACAGATCCAGACCCCATACCTGGTCCTTGCTGGTGTTATCTTGGACAATCATAATTCGTGAATTAGAGATTCTCAGTCTTCTAATTAATCTGTGGGTTATGATTCCTGAGTTATGGAATCTCTAATATAATATTATACTGTTTTAAAGATATTATGTTAAAGTTTATACACTTGTAGTAACTCTTTACAGTCATAGATATGATTTCTGACTTAACTGTTAATGTAAGAGTTTTCAAATTCTCTCTATTTAGTTTTATAATTAGTTCAAATTTTGCTTTTTATTATCCGAGTATCCCAAGCTGTTATATAAATCATGGATTTATGAAGTTCCCGGTTATTTCAGAGTCTATCAATACTTGAACTAGTTGATTTAATATGATTACTTAGATCTTCAAATGTGGTTCCAATTCAGTGATTACTAACTACTGTTCTGGCTAGTTAGGTTCTAACTGTCTTAGGTGTCTTTTTAAAAACCTCAAGCCTTTTATCTTTACTGTGTAGTATATTATATACTGATCGTTGAAATATATTAATCAATATATTAATCTGTAATAAGAATATTGCTAATATTCTTTATATATATAATTATAGTTCAGGCATAGATAATGACTTGCCTTAGTTTTTACTATTTCTGGTATTTTAGATTGGTAGTTAATAATATACTTTTAATCATGGTGTGTTGAGCATGTGTTTATATAATATATAAGTTAAGAAAGTTTATCATGTTTTTAATAATCTCTACTTTCTTTGAAATATATGTACAGATATAGTTTATTATATTAAAGTTCTGTTCCAGCAATGTTTATCTTTTAGTTAATCTTTAATAACTGGTAATAGTAGTCTGTGTTATCTTATCCATATATTAAATAAACTTCTGGGTGACAGAGGCATTTTCTTAAATATTGTTTTTAAATCTTGTTTCATGATTTTCAATATTTTAAATCTTAATATGGGTAATGCTGCATGATTATCTTGAGCTCTGGGCAGAATTGTGCTGGATTCTCTGAGATCTCTTTCAAGATATGGTTTAATTAATAAGTAATATTTTCTTTATTATTTTTTTTGGTTTTTCTTATCTTTATCTTGCTGTGATGGACAGGATTTACTGATTTCTAATAGAGGTTTTTCCAGAGTATTAGATATCTTATTAAGTCTTTTTTTACTGGATTTAAGATCTTTAAATAAAGTACTGTACTCTTTATCTGATGGATTAAACTTGTTTTAAACTATACTAGGATAGTTATTCCTTGAAACTAGCTTATAATTATTATTATTAATTTCTGTAGTCCAAACTAATAGTATAGATAATTATCAATCCTCTTATTAACTTGATAATACTATTAACTTATCTGTAGTGGCCTGTTATCTTAACCAATCATAATATATCTTATTCTCTAATAACTAATTATGTTAAATAGTATATAGTTTCTTGTTATCTGATATCTATGTTGCAGATTCTATTTAAACTTTGTGCTGAATAATAGTGATATTATAGACTTCTTTATCTTAATCTTGGTTCATAGCTTTTAACTGCTTCTGAGGCTGTTACTGTTTCTGATTACAGTTTTTTAACTGGTGATCTGTTTTGCCGCAACTAAAGTACAAGTAGTTTTATTTATACTATTCAAGTTTCTTCTTAAATATTCTATTTTATTAAGTCTAATGCTGTACTACATCCAGCTCTATTAGTTTTAGTCTGTAGAGATCTTTGTATCCCAAGCTTCTAGATTATATTAATCTTCCATTATTAGCTTGATAATCTGTTTAACTATTTTGTCGAGGTATAGACTTGCTGGTCTATCAATCCTCTTATTATTTTATATTATATTCGTATAACTTATTATCAATCTTAACTACTGTTTTAATTATTTTTAGCAATATATTTAATCATTCTTACTAAATAAGTTTCTCTTAGATCTCTATCTTGAGTCCTTTTTCAAATCATGCAATATAGGCATTGTTATTTTAATCCAAGTGACTAGTGACTTATAAAAACTCTAAAATATACTTAAATACTGATTTAGTCTGTTTAAATTACTATAATTTTTACTTAGTGTTCTGTGCTGTATTAATATCTTCAAATATTTATTCAAGATATTGCTTAAATCTGATGTAACTAGTAAAGATTTACTTTATATTATTGTCCTAATTATTTACCAACTTTTTTTGATACTCGCAGATATATGGTTCAAACTAATTAATATTAATCTAATCAAGTAGGTAAACGTGAAAAGAATCTTATCAATCTTATTCTTAAGTCTCTCTCTGTTCATGCCGAGATACAAGTCTAACTAGATCAAAAAAGCCCTGAGCTTTACTCGATTACTGTTAAATGGCTCTGGTGATCAGATCTTAATAGACTTAATTATTAAACAACCTTCAAGTAACTAGTTTTATTATTCTAAGGCGGTGATACTTTCTTATAACTAATTAACCATACCCATCAGTTCTTATATTATCAGGCCCTGTTACTGTGGGGCGCGTGATGAGTTTGATATAGTTAATATAATGAATAGTTATCACTAGATAATACTCGTACTGACTAGTGCTCAATATATCAAATCCTAGGATCGCTTCTTCCTATTCCTATTAGCTTAGCTCCCGTTCCAATACATACCTTCAAACTGAATCAAGATAAGTCAGACTGATGACTATCTAAAAGATGACTAGTCCTAAATAAGAAAAGAGAAGTAAGGCTAGATAGTGCCACGTAACTATCCGTAAGTGAGTACAGATGAGTATTATTACTAAGCTTTATTAAATATATGGTACTTAAAGATAATATGAATTAAGCATGAAGAACAGAACTAGCTAAGTATATAAAAGAGTATTCTTTTATCCTATCCTTTATCATGGCATCGGCATGTCATATCATATCACTGGATATGTTATTTTGTAGCACCGCCATGTCCTGTCATAGTGCTGCCATGTCCTGTTATAGCGCTGTCATGTCCTGTTATAGTACCACCATATCCTGTCATAGCGCTGATATATTATAGCTTATCAGTGATATATCCGTCATGGTCACGTGCCGTGTAACAGCTCCGGTTGTTGGTTACTCAGATCAGGATTCTACTCGATAAGAGTCCTTATCTGTCCGGGCGTAGCCTTCTGCCTGACGTGTCCGCCTTACTAGTCGTTCAGCTAGCAGGGGTCCGTAACATACTATTCCTGAATCTACTCTATGTACAAGGCTCCGTGGAGTAACCTTTCAAGCAGAAACACGTGCTAACTCTCATAAACTAACTCAAAATAAAGAGGAATTATTTATATAATAATGTCAAACCCTAGGATCGCTTCTCCCTGTTCCTGTTAGCTTAGCTTCCGTCCCGATACGTACCTTTGAATTGAATCAAGGTAAGTCAAGCTGATGACTATCTAAAGAGAACTGGTCCTGAACAGAAGAAGAGAAGTAAGGCCAGATAGTGCCGCGCAGCTATCCGTAAGTAAGTGCGGACGAGTGTTGTCGCTAAGCTTTACCAAATGTATGGTTACTTAAAGACAGTTGTATTGAGCACGAAGAACAGAACTAACTGAGTACTTGAAGGAGTGTCCTTATATATCCTATCCCTCGTATACCATTCCGTATACCATCGGGTCTACCGTATACCCGCCTGGTAGTTATAGACCATGATGGTATGTTATATACCACATGCTTGTCCGTATACCATGGTCATGTGACATGTGACACGTGATGACTCAACTCAGGACTTTACCCGATAAGAGTGGTCGTCCATCCGGGCGTAGCCTTCTGCCTGACGTACCCGCCTTACTAGTCGTTCAGCTAGCAGGGGTCTGTAACACCCTATCTCTTCTTTAGAGATACAGCTGGACAAGATTATTAAATATAGTAAATTAATCTTAAATAAGGCAGCTCTTGCGTGTTAAGAAATTCGTGATTTATGAGCTATAAATAAGACACAGCTTTAAGAGAGAAAGAAGTCTACTAAGCAACTTACTGCTACAGAGGGTCTTTCTATTTAGAAAGGCCAGAAGTGATTTCAGCAGGAGAATCAGGTCTTTAAAGCTCAAGATACTCTATCTAGAGATCTAGAGCTTTCTACAGTTAGGCTCCGTGTACGCGCTCCGCTGCAGTATTCTAATTATCATATTCAGGGGCATACTAGGATTAGATGTCCTAATCCATCTAGTAATTAGTTTTATATAGAAATGCAATTGGTTAGTTAGTAAAAAGGTGCTTGAATCTCATCTAGTCATGGAAATCGGGTGGAAGTGCGCAGCTCGCTTACATGCGCAGCTCGCTTACCGAATACGTTATCGACAATCGGCTTATCTAATCAGCGTTTGAGAACTACTCTCATCCAGGCTGACATTCAGCCTTCATCACATCCCAGCAACCGATCCCAGTAGCCAGGATATAGATTCAAAGAATGGAAGACTCCCCCGGTGCTGAGCACCTGGCGTTCATGCAATGGGCCGAGAGCGCAGGGATCAAAATTAAGGGCATCACGCCTGCCCGATTCCCCGGTCGACGATTGGGGATGAAAGCCACTCGAACAATAAAAGTAGGAGACTTACAAGAGAATGAATCCAGAGGAGAATACTACAGTTCGTGATAGAGTGACTAACATGGTCTAGAACAATGAAATCATGCTCACCGTCCCCGTCAATCTAATGCTAACCATCGACTCCATCCCCTCATCATTCACCTCGCAATTCCCCTCAGGTACATCCATCCATGGGATCCTCGCTGCGTTTCTCACGCACGCCGATCCGGCTCTTCTCAAAGATGTTGATCCCTGGCGAAAAGTCTGGCCTTCGTTCGACGAGTTCGAGGATAGCATGCCGGTCCTCTGGCCGGAACATCTCCGAGTATCCAATTCCAGCTACGGAGCCAGTTCCTCCTCCCCCTCCTCATCATCGAAGAAAGTCCTCCTCCCACCATCCATTTCAGGGGAATGGAACTCTTTCTCCAAAGAGCCCGTCGGTGCGGACTACGACACACGATATCAAAACCTCCTCAGTCAACAAGAAACCCGGCTACAGGATGCCTGGGCGCACGTGGTGACTGTCTACCCGGATACCCAGTGGAAGACCTTCGCCTATTACTGGTGTATTATCAACTCGCGGAGCTTCTATTACGTCTCGCCGGGGAAGGACGAGCCAGAGGATTGGAACGATGCGATTGGGATGGTCCCGTTCGCGGATTACTTTAATCATGATGATGAAGCGGTGCGTTCTCTGTCTGCTATACTTATTCATACCTCTAAGATACTTATGAGCTTCTCTGTAGGACTGCGACGTCACCTTCGACGGCAAGAAATACACTTTTAGAGCTACACGTCGATACGGTACTCCTTACCTCCCCATCTATCTATACCCACCTACCTACCTACCTACCTACCTACCTACCTACCTACCTACCTACCTACCTACAAGAAAGGAAAGCAAACAAACGCAACGAACGCAAAGCTAATCAATCCCATACAGAAAAAGACGAAGAAATCTTCATGAGCTACGGCTCGCACTCGAATGACTTTCTCCTCGTCGAATGTTCGTCAATCCTAACCCTACCTTTCCCTCACCTCATCTTCATCCCTATCCAACACCATCACCACTAACAAACCCCCAGACGGCTTCTTCCTCCCCACCAACCCCTCCGACACAATCTACCTCGACGACATCATCTTCCAAGACCTCACCACAGCCCAGAAAAAAGAACTAGCGGCCCAGGAAATATTCGGGTATGCAATCCTCCCCTTACCCCTACCCCTACCACCATCACCACTAACAACAACAGGAACTACACCCTCCCCCTCCCCCCATCCACCAAATATTCCCCCTCCGGACCCCCCTCACCAATCCACTTTGCTGCGGCCCTAAAATACCTTTCCCGACGAGACTGGCGAAACTACATCTCAGGGAGATCGAGTCACGGCGTGGACGAGAAGAAATTGGCGGGTATTATTCGGGGGTGGGTGGAGAAGTATCTGTCCGAGTGTGTGGTTACTATTGGGATTATTGAGGGGATGTTGGATCGGAAAGATCACTTGGATGGGGATGGGGATGGGGATGGAATTGGAGAGAAGATTGGGTCGAGGGCGTGGGAGAGGGAGAAGTTACGGATGTTGTTGGAGAGGTGGGGGCAGATCAGACGGTTGTGTGAGGGGGTTATTGAGGGGTTGAAGTGAGGGTTTTGTTGCAGTGTGTTGTGTGTTTGGGATGATGTTGAAGGGGTCCTGTTGATAGAAAGTGGGGATGTTGGGGATAGAGGTTTGTAAACATGCAGCAAACTAAAATAGACTGAAGAATCCATATTGCACCTCTATCTATATACCCATACTAACACAACCAAGAATATGTCCAATGCCCAACGGCGCTCTGCCAAATGGCATGGCCGTCCTTTGAATCCACATCGAGACACACAGCAACCATGACAAGCAGCACAGCACCGTCAGTAATAACTAAGATTATAATATGTTTTCCACAAAGCCAAATGTAAAACCAACTTTGCACAAGAAGAGGATGTAAATAACACTATACCCCTGGAACACCTGGAAACATCGACTGTCCCGATGGTGACAGGAAACCAAAAGCGTTGACGCCTATATACGACCCACTGCGTTGGGGGTATCACACGGCAAAATGCGAGGCAAGAATGTCCAAATAAAAGCAGAAAGAGGACAGTTTTATATAGAAGAAAGGCAGAGCCAACGCAACTGACGGCGAAGGCTCATTTCCGTGAAGGTATCAGTTTTCGGCCAAAATTGCGAATCGACGTCTTATGGCTCGCACTAAACAAGGATCAGTATGATGCACTAATGCAAAGCAAAGGTCAACTCACGTTTCGTCGGGATCATCCCAGGTCCTGATCGTCTGAGACCTAGGCATTGCGTTTCCCGAAGTCATGGGCCGAGTAGGAGGGTTGACAATTCTGCGAGATTGCTACAACCTAGTTAGCCCCATCCATTTGTATTTGTTGCATCGAAACATACCTCCCAACGGGCATCCACGTCAACTTCGCTCGCAGAACGCGAGTCCGATAATACACCCCCTGGCTCATGGAGCATACTCGACCCCAGAGAGTTGGATCTTACAAGCGGAGACGTCCCAGATTTCCCAGAACGCTGAGACTCGGAATACTCGCTGTTCGAGTCCACACTGTTAATGCTTTGGGCATTGTCCGACGTGTTCACTGCGCTGTCTGATTGGTGCATAACCTGAGACGAGCTGGCCAGTTCACGGTACCGTTTTTGCTGCTGCTTTGTAGGCCGATGGTGGGAGAACTTGTTCCCGAGGATGGCGGGCGCATGCGAGATCAGAGCCTTAATCACATCCTTTTTGAGTCGCAAGGCCAAGTCAAGGTTCGACCACGTCTTGTTATGATACTCTAGAACGGGCAATCGGAAAACGAAGTCATGAAGATCCTCTAAGTTGTGTTCTCCCTTGCCCTTGTAACTCAGGCACAGCACCACATCATGCACCTTGACATGGGCAAGCGTCATGTAGTTCGACGCACGCGACATCATCTGAGACAAGTCGTCAGGAGTCTCCTTCGACTTGCTGCCCTTGGTCTGTATTCTTCCGAGAGCGAACTTCTTTTTCTCCTCATTGATCGACGAAGCACCTGACCCATTAGCGACAGATTTTTCGGTGGGTTGCCTGGACAGTATCCGCAGGCTGTCGACTGATCTCTTCTTGGTCAACCCGCCGCTCGTTGAGGGCCGTATGTGGTTGTTGTCCTTGTCCTTGTGAAGAGGGGTCATGGCGAGACCTCTAAGCTGGCGGTGATGAGACTTGGGTCTGGCCTCCTCGGACAGTGACAGCGTCGGTTGCAGCCGCAGCTCAATTGCCCCTGGGCCCTTCAGCGGCAAGTCTTCCGTCGAAATATCACCCTGGTCTGGGTTTACATGTGAGGTCGGGCTTTCTTCGTCGTCCGAGTCTGACGATTCGTCGAGCGGCTTCATGTTTTTGATCATGAACGGCGAAAACCCGCCATTCTCGAACGCAGTAGACCCGACGTTAGGGAACATGTATTCGAACACCTTTTGGCCAAGCTCCCGCTCCAACTGAACCTTGAGCGGGAAGAGAGACACCTCAAAATCGTCCAAGACAGGAATACCAGCAACGGCCTCCAGCATGTGCCACTTCACCTTGATCATGCAATCATCGGGCCCGCTGAGACCCCGGGCCTGGTCAAGATAAGGCACGATGATTTGAGGGTATATAGCATCGGGAAGGAGGTTCAGGCCGTACAATCGTTCGACGGCAACCAAGTTATGGTTCGAACCGTCACTGTTGTCTGTGCGGTCATATTCAGCATTACGGAGCTGGAACTCAACCAAGGGTTCGGTTTGATCCTTCATCAGATGCCACACCACCTCGCTTGCCGAAATGTTCCAGCGGAGGACTCCATGTGCCTTCGACATGTTCGGGTCAATCTTTCTCTGTGAAGAGGTGATGGCCTTCATCAAGAAGAACAACTCATCTTCACATTGAGTAAGATCCTTTTCGAGCACCAACCGGTCTTCCCAGCCTTGTTTGTCCAGATACTTGGCATGGATTTGGAAATGTTCCTTGATCTCCTCTAGCTGTCGGATGCGAGACTGGAGTTTGAAAACCATCTCTGGTGCACCTCTCAGATCACTGAAGTCGGAAGTGAGCATGATTCTCTCTAGGCGCTCGTTGCGGACCTTCTCCAGAGGCTCGTTGTAGAGGAGAAGGTCCAGAACAATGATGTACATCGAGTAGTACTCGGCGGAGTCGCAAATGGCACGGAAATGAGGAAAGTCGACGCTGATGTGATCCATTCTCGGTTCCGCATCATTCATATTGTACTGTTGGTCTGATTGTCCTTTCGCCACCTCTTCATTATATTTCAGGCGAAGGTTGTTGTACTTGTCGTACCGCAAGCTGGCCGAAGTCTTCTGTATAATCCGTGAGAAGCCAAAAGGGTTGAGTTCAAAGTCAAACAACGCCTCGAGGTTCAGCCAAGGAGGCCACGCCGACCCCGGGGGGTTGCCATACTTGTTGCCGGCATAGAATTGCAGATGGTTCATCAGGCTCTTTTGCGTTGCCACAAAGAACTGGGCTCCGTCCATGCAAAGATTAAAGCGGCGCTGCACGAGACCGCTGACATCGTCGGACACCCGTTCCTTGTCCATAATGGACACGACTTGAAGTTGCATGCCTTTGGCGGCGACCACAAGCACGGATTTCTGATTCTTCTCGCTCTGCAGTTGAATCTGTGGGGCGATAAGTCGCAGATGGTAGCTGTTCTGGGGTGTAAATTCTGGCGCGATGTTCTCGCTGAATCCTTCGGATTTGGCAGCACTCGGTCTCCTTTGGTCAGGATGTTCTTGTTCCTCGGCATTTACGTAGCGCTTCGCATCGTTCAGCAGCTGTTCAATGCGATCCTCGACACTGTCATCATCTTCGCTGTCCACAAGCCCGCCAGCATCGGATGGGCGTCTCGAAGCAGTCCGGAAAAGCTTGGAATGCTTTTGCTTGTTCTTGTTTTGCTCATCAACAATGTCAAGAATGAACTTAACAGCTCTTCGAGACATATAGTACACAAATCCACGCCGTTGGCTGACTTGATGGATATAGCGCAGGATGATGTTCCTCAGAGAATTATTCCATTTCAGCTGGATGTTGTGAATAATGAATCTGTTGTTGAAGTCACTGGCTAGTTCATCCTCCGGACTGGAGTACAGGCCGTCCATATCGGCATCCTTGCCATCAGTCGTCGAGTCCGAGTCAGTTCCCATCCGGGAAGCGCTGTCATTGACAAAGGCCTCAGGGTTCCTCTCTGTCGGGATCTTCTCCTCCCGCGCAAGTTGTTTTTCGATCCGTTGAAGGCCGGCGGTTAGGAATGTCCGTCGTCGCATTAGTGTTTCTGCCTGTCGAAGATAGTCGCTATGCTGACTCTTAAGCGCGGGGTCAGGGCTGACGTCTCTTGTCATGCGAAGTTCCTGCTCGCCGATTGTACGATTACATTCGCGAGTCTGAGCCTCAACAGCAACGAGGCGCTCTCGAATCAGCTCCATTTGAACCCGGCGGGGTTCATTATTCCCGGACATAAGGCAGTCATGGGTCGGCTCATCACCAAAAGTGCTGTACCCCGTTTCGTCGGGAGCTGTTTCACCATGATCTGTTTGGCGGAAATACGTAAAGCGCGGCGTGAACGCCAAAGGCAGAATCTGCGTTCGGGGATTCGACTCCTGAGGTAGGATCCAATCCAGCTCAACAAAGTCATCCATGTCGATCCAGTCCAGGTTCTGGTCAGGAATCGTAAACCGAGAGAGGTCGACGGAAGCCACGGGCTGTTGGAAGGATGAGAGGATGTCGTCTTTGTTGTTCTCAATATCGTCGAAATTGGTCCCTTCAATACTAGCTGAAACGGCTCTGAAATCTGCAGACTGCAGATCCAACTCGGCCTGGTTTATCCTCATGGCGCTTGCCTTGGTTTGCTTCAAGCGGCCTTTGGCTTGGGTCTTGACTTGCTCCCGTCTCTGATGGACATCAAGTTTCAGACTATCCAGACGGACCTTGATGCCTGTTGCCGTCACAACATCTTCGGCATAGTCTTCGCGATCCTTGTGCTTGTAAATGTGAGCCACAAACAAGGGGGCGAAAAGCAACTGGTACTTGACTGTGGCCAGATGACGGTTGAACTTCTTGCTCGTCTTAGTGATGCCGGGCCACAGTGGTCCTTGCCGGACAGGAAGTGACATGACACCTGAGAAGAGCGACCACCAGTTGAAGAAGTGAGTGAAAAACCGAGGAGTCAAGTGAACAGTATTGTAGCTGGCAGACGGGTGAACAGAGTCTGCGGACCAATTCTTGCTTTCCGGAGCGACAACTGAGATTGACAAGTGGATGTGGTTACTGCGGAACCCGCGATAAGCATCGTAAGTCTGCCCCAGGTTAGCCGCTTGAATCGTCTCATGGTAGTTGCCCGACCTACCTCGCGCTGTGCTGGGTCAACATGGACAGGGTTCTGAAGCACGACGTCATAGTGTGGTTTGAACTCGAATGACCGCTGGTCATCATCTACGTTGCGCTCGAATACCAACCCGGCAGCCCATTTTACGTCACCAGAAAGTTTCATGACGACCTTCTTGAAATGAGCAGCATTCTTCATGTCGCTTGAAGAGGATGTGCTTTCCAAGTCCTGGGTCGTAGCTTCGGCCATATACCGAGCTTCGTGGCTATAATCCGGTATCGCCAGCACGTATTCTCCACTGCGGACGCTCATGAATTCTTTAGGATCATCACTGGTGTGGACCTCCCATTTGACATCTTTGCGCCAGCACATGACGAATCCGCCGCCGAATCCAGTCACCACATACGGATCACGCGATCCTTTTAGACGAAGGTGGACATCTCCATCCTCCTTCCATGCGATCTTGATCCGAGAGTGGAAGCTGAGTCGGATCTTGTCCCAGAAGCCAACCCTATCAGAAGGATCAATCTCTGTCTTGGTGAACCCTTCAATAATTTTCATCATGTCCTGGATCACAGGCTGATAAGACATGCCCCAGGAGATACTCGTTGGCAGACTCGTGTTGATCTCAATGGTAGGGTCGGAGTATGTTTTGACCGGAGATACGGATCGCCAGACCTCAATGGCGAACGGAGGACTCATGGACCCGTCTGACAGCTCCGTAGAGGGAACCAATTCTAGTTTGACCTGCCTGGCCGACTTATAGTCGCGGTATTCTTCGGCAATCACAAGGTTCGTCCGGAGAGACCAACTGGGCAGTCTAGGAGACTGTCCAGGGCGCAAAGCCGGTATATGCAACAAATCCAAGGGATAATCTCTCAGGTTGACGCGGGCCTCACCCATGTCCAGCTGTATACTCATGGGAACTAGCAGCGCGTACTGCGTCGCCATAGGTATACCTTTACCAACGCTGTGGAGGAACTTGGGATACTCCTCCAGAGGGAAGAAGGGCTTGTCAATAACAAGATTGATGTCACTTATCAAGGCAGCCAAAAGAGCAGGCCTGTTCGGAATAGACAGTACGGTTTCCGTCTCTTGCACATCTTCAGGTGGCTCGTCAGCGCCAGAAAATAGGTTTCTCACCTCCTTTATAGATGTGCCCTGGAAGCGTAAAGCAGAATCAATCTTATCTTTCCAAGAACGAGAATTGTGTTCTTGTAGACGATACCAAGCATTCTGTGTTGAAATTTTGGATTCGGAAGACAGGCAGGCAGCCCCCTCGGTATCGTAGCGAAATTTCTTGCCTCGGCCATGCATGTCATCATGCAAACTCTTCCGCGGCTTGGGCTCGGCGCTTTTGCTTCTCCTTGTTTCCTCACTAACTCGCTCACTGCGAAGAGTTCGGTGGCTTGACCTAGCCCGAAGTCTGGACGTAGAGCGGCGTTGGTCCGAATCCTTGATTTTCTGAAGCTTCAGTTCGAATGCCTCCTCCCGGGCTAAGCGCTGGTGCTGTTCCAGGAGCCCAGTTCGATAGATGCAACCAAGTTTCCACTCAAAGGCATCATCTTCCAGTTCAAATAGCAAAGCTTTGCTCCGCACCGATACCCTGGGTATCTTCTTTGGTTGTTCCGGTTCTCTTACTGATCCAAATTCGGATGTATGGTTTTGGAACCGTTCATGGAGCTGCTTGAGTGCTTTTGAGGTGTTGATCACATTGTCGATAACGCGATGCATTACCATGTGATGTGGCACTCCCAGTCGGATGAAATCCGCCCAGATGTCGATTGACTTTTGCTCAACAAGACTGGTGCCTTGCTTAAGTTTCATCTTGCGTAAGTCAATCCGGACGTTGTTCATGCTGATTATCCTGGCCCAAACACCCTTGAGCTTCGGCGCTTCTGCGTGCAACCGAATGAGATGTGCCTTTGCAAATGGAGCAGAGAGGCGATGAGAACCAGCCGTTACCCCGTAGATCTGGACCAGCATCGGAGGGTCCGCAGGCATAAACGTCTTTAACTGTATGACAGTTGCTCGGACATCAACAGTGACAAGCTCGCTTCTAGCTGAAGGACGTGGAGATGAGGGGTAGGTGAACTCCTTTGCTATCGGGGATGTGGGCTCGGGCATTTCTGGCGCTTTTCGCATGAAAGCTTCCTGGACCACAGACGCAGCTACCCGAAGGCAATAGTAGCGATAGAGGGAGTATTGCAGGTAGACCCCCTTGAACACAGAGTTGACGTTGAATATCGGTCCAAGCCGATCACTCATCGTGCTTAGTGCCACCTCGAATCTTGGCAGCGAGAAAAAGGGTTCGGACTCCAGGTAGTCTTCAGATTCAATGACAAAGCCCTCGAAGCCGCGGACATGAAGAGCCAGTCGCCTTCCATCCGTGGCGCCCACTTGTTTCTGTCTCGGAGGAGACGTAGGAGGGAACCGGAACGACGACTCATCCCCGATTGTAGAATGACTTGGGGTACGTCTTCTTGCAAAGCTTACTGTCGTTGGTTCCGATTTCTGGACTCTGTAATCTGCAGTCCACGACTGGAGCTGGAACGAGACACCACGTGAAACCTCTGATACACTGGTGTCAACGCCGGCAACTTCCAGGCTGAGACCAGTGGCTTCAAACTGGAACCGGAGTAACCATGGAGGAATCCGCCTTAGAACACTGGGTTTTCGCTCCTCAAACGACATGGACGCCTTCCTTCTATGCCGTGTTTGAGCTCGGAACTGCTCAAGGACTTGATGAATGCCTCGGTTCACTTCATCGTTCACCATGTGTGCAGAGCAAGTATTCAGGCTTCCTGATGCGATAACGCGTACTTCTGGTGATGCACTCAGTAGTACCTTAAACTCCAATCCCTCTGTTGTTAAGAGATTATGTTTCACGCCAGACGGGGTCTGATAGTATAGCTTGTGCGAGGCCACCCGGTAAATAGATGATAACGAGTAGTGAACTCCACCCTCTGACGAATGCGAAGACTCAATGTCAAGAGAGATAGCGGATATAGAGGAAATTAGTAAATTATAGTCATCGCTAGGGGCGTCGGAGGGGTTCGTGATTGGGAGGACGAATCGGACCACGGGTTCATGAACCGATACTTTGATGCTGGCTTTGGGCAGCAGCCGCGATATCAGTCGGTGGTTATCCCTTTTCTTCCCCCGAGAAGGCGCCTTCTTGGCCTGAGCCAGCCCCAAGAGCCGAGAGACCTGCTTTGGCTCTAGATCAAGCGACGGCGATGTCACCACGAGATTAGCAAAAAGAATGTTCGTATTGCGCTCCTCAGGGTTATGGTCATCGAAGGAGCTGATGGTCTTTGAAGGGAGTGTAGTCTTGATTGTTGTGGTGGCCATTGGGATATAAAGAATGTTATCCGTCTCGCCCGAAGAGTCGTCCAAACTGACCGAAAGAGAAATGGCCGCCAGAAGGGCTTGGTGGGCGACATCATTGCGCTGGAAATACATGCGGTGGGCGGGACTCTTTTGGTCCATTCGGTGGAGATCGATGCCTAGCTCATGCGATACCACGTTCAGATACACAGGGGTTTGCTTTGACGAAGGGGGCTGGAAAGCCCGAGACAACCTGAAGAAACTCAGAGCCACCTGTATTCCCTGTATTCCGCGAAGAATTGATCCGGCAAATTCTTTCGAGTCCGCAACTGCCTGTACGATCGTGTCATCTCGGCTTCCTGGCTGATCCAACTCCTCCACAAAGTCTGAGAAAGAAACCTCGTCATCGGTTTCGTTGGTGTCGGGCTCCGCAGAGGATTGTCGAAGTTGTTTGATGCGCTGCATCAGTGTCACCACGTCATCGTATGGAATATGCATCCGCCCAATCTTGAAAGCGATGGACGCATCCCTGAGACCCTCGAGGTCCTTGTAGAGAAGCCCATGGATGTTGACCCGAACATTGTCCAGCACTTCGGTTGGCTCCCCTCCATCAATTCCAAGCAGCACGTTCTGTACATTCATCACCCACTCTGCCGGTCGTTGCTCGCCAGGATCATTATTCTTGCGCCGGAAGAATAGCTTCCCTCGATCCACCATTTTGCGCCTCGTGTCGACTCCCAAGGACAATGATCCAACCTGAATCTGGCCGGCTTCGAGAACATTGACGGTCGTATTGACGGCCACGACATCCACCAACTTCAACCAATGAATCTGCCGGTGTAGTCGCTTCACTTGTTCCTTCATGCGGGTCAAGTTCCTCCACGTCTTACTCCTCTTGGGGGTGGAAGGGGTGTCTTCCCCATTCTCTGGCTTGGTCGACTCCTTCTCCGAGAGGCCCTGCGGTTCCGACGCATCAGACTTGCTGGTGGACTTTTTCCCCTTTCCTGGAGCCGAGGGGTCCAGTGTCACTTTCAGCTCGGTCAGCCGAATACTGAGCCATGTTGGTTGCGCAAACGACGGCGGATGTAAGGAGAGGCCAAGGCCACGAAGTTCGATCTGTACACCATCTCGGGGAACGTAGGCGATGCGGCGAAGAGAAAAATATCCTATTCGTTGAATCGAAATCCCTGTCGCGATACGGACGATGGCGAAGATAAGGAAGGAGGAGAGGTAAACGAGCAGGAAGCCCACGAGGACTGTGGTCGGGCTGAAAAGCGTCATCGTATTTCGCGATCAGCAGGACTGATCCGTTGCACAGGATGAGCAACCGTCAAGCAAGAAACCATGGAGATGCTGCTGGTGGCGGTTGCATGGATCTAAAGGAAATCCGAAGGTGAGAAGTGGCCAGAGGGAGCAATGGATGGTCTATACAACCAAAGGAGCTCCCCCGAGTCGATGCAGCGAAACCCTCCTGAGGAGAGGGGAGAGGGGGGTTTACTTCTGCGGGATCGGGTAAAAGAACAGGTCTCCGTTAAGAGGAGGAGAGCTGCCGAGGGGTCGAAAAAGCGTCGCGGGAGAAACGAAGCAGCCGTAAGACAGTCATGCTTTTGTGAAATAATTTTGCTTGACCTCAGCACGCCGGCCGTCTTTCACAAAGCGTATGATGAAAGGTGTGGATGATCGGAAGGGCGAGCCATAGATGCCAAACCAATGGAGCGGGCAACCTGTCAGCGGCGGAAAGGTCGAACCCGTCGCGGACAAGACTGGAAGCGGAAGGCCGCCCACCGGGGCTTCTCACTGGTCCAACGGAGAGTTGTTTTCTGGCCGGACCGTCCGGCTGGCTCGGCTTTGCTGCTGGGAATAATGAGGTGGGTTCTTCGCTGCAGCTTCCGAGCCTCGCTGGGTAACAAACTTACAGTAGTCTGGCCGGAATGGGGCAAGCCTCAGGTTTCGCTGGGGCGATCGGAGCCAGTTCCATTCCCCCTGCTCGCTCGAGAAGGAGTCGAGGGACACAATAATCCAGGTTGGATTCGGATTCGGATTCAGGTACATACATACCTTCTCCCTCTTCACTCGTTCCAGCGCAGCATTCTCACCAAGAACACCTGCCATTGGGAATCTCTCGAGAAACTTTCCCAACGCCATTCAACCAATCAGCGATCTGGTCCGGGCGTGTCCAACAACAAGAAACAGGTCGGTCCCAACCAGTGTTACATTATAATTCAGCGCCCTTCTTAGTTATATGGAGCTCTTGTTTCAATTAGATACACGCTTGGGGCCCATATGATACATGCGAAAGGTTAACTCCTTCCGGAGGCTTCATGGAATGATGGAACATGGAACAGGCACCCAGTAGCTACGGTGGCTTTGCGAACCGGAGCCAGCCGGACTGGGTGGCCCATTCCCTGCCAACACGATAGCCAAAGGTACCTAGGTAGTAGACTCGCAACTTAAACTGCCATGTGAGCACAACGCCCTTGCGGAGCAGGTGCAAGCCAAGTGCAACATGACGCTCGCTGATGGAATAATAATCCCTATCCTGGAGGCGACCGATCTAGTCCTATTCTTCAAACACTCAGATCGGACATGTAAGATCGACGACCGCCAGTCGAGATTGGCCGTACCTTTTTTTCTCCCGCCCATAGCCGAATTGCTAGTGGCTATTCAACACGACTACTTAGCTGCAGGATCCGATTTTGCCGACTCCTGTCCAGTAGTAGTAGTAGTAGTAGTAGTAGTAGTAGTAGTAGTCTTGAGCTTTTCGAGTTCCTCGATTTTCTCGTCAAGGAGTGCAATTTCAGCCTCAATGCTCAACAGTTTCTCGCCGAGGATCCCCCGGTAGTCGTCGTCCGACAGGGACTTGAGCGGGATCCATTTGGAATCGGCCATCCGTTGCAAAAATGGCTTGGAATGCGTATTCGCGTTCTCCATTTGCCATGCGTCGATCGCATTATACGAGCGTTGCCCGACATAGCCTAGAAGCGAAAAAACAACTAGCCCTGGGACCAGCCGGCCGCCTAGTAGATAGCACGCACCGAGCATCAGCACCCCGACACCACCTTTTCTCTCTCAAATAGGAAAAAGGAGAATGGAACTGGGATCAACTCACCCATTAATCTCGTAACAGCCCCTCCAGCAACGCCCCCAGACAGGGCGCTGACATAAGCCCGCTGCTGAGGGGTGGACTTGTCTTCATAATGGTGCTTCAAAATGTTACTTCTCAACCCTGTGGCACACTTAGTATTATTTTCCCATCTATAAGGATAGAAAAGGAGAACTCACACCAAAAGGAGGTTCCACAAACCGCCCAATGGATTCCACACGAGATAGAATGGATCACAGGGTGGGGAGACCGAATAACACCTGATATGCCTCCGTACACAAGACCAGCAGAGCCTATCATAGCAAGTGAGTAGGACTGCTGCAATAAACCTCAGGCATGTGTCCCTGAATTGAGGCCCGGCCGACCATTCACCGGGAAGGGATTGGTAACTCACCACTCACGGCTCCCACTTTCAGGGAGGAGACTAGCACATTGGGCTCTGGATATAATGACTTGTTTTGACCGCTCATTTTTGCTGTGACGGTCCCTGCAGTCGCAAGATCTCCAGGCAAGAGGCAAAATGGCTGGTATCTATCATGGAAAACTGCAGCAGTTCACGTGACCAGACACTCTCGGTGTGCTTACCTAATCTCATTCTATAACTAACTAATTAGTTAACTAGCTGTTCTCTCCTGAGGCCATAAACTACACATACATATCCTACTTTCAAGGGGGAAGCACTTGGATAATATGTCTTAGATCATCATATGAGACCCTGAATTACCCCATTACAGACTGAAATAATCAACCTCATATACTCCAAACCCTTCCAAGATATGCACGCCATAAATATTTACAATCAACCCCACCAGGCTAGATCAGTCAGCTCTAAAACTTATGAACCTGGTCCTTCGAGAACCCTACTCGACTTAGGATACCTTCAGGTGATCGTTTCGATCCGACCAGAGAGTCCTCCATCGCCGGAGGGCCGCAAACAAACACCTTTGTATTCTGCGTAGGGCCTTTGAAAGCGCTTCGGAGAAGCTCCTCATTGATATAGCCCTTCCCATAGGGAGAGTCCTCCTTTGGATGGCTGACAGTATACCGGTAATCAAAGCGGTCAGGAAATTCTGTCGCATAGCGGTCAAGCTCTTCCTTCAACAGCAGGTCTTCCTCGGAATTGACACCAAAAACAAGAGTCATCTTCGTTCTATCTTGAGGATTCTTTAGAACGCCTCTGATAAGCTGGTAGATGGGCGTGATGCCAGCACCACCAGCCAAGAGATAGACGTGAGAGAACTCGTTTGCCTTCCATTGGTATCCTTTCAAGGAAGTTGCAAATCTGAGTGAATCTCCTGGCTTGAGGGAATGAAGGTAACCACTGCCTTTCCCTTCGGGGTATTTTTTGACTAAAAGTTCGAGATGTCCTGATTCGTCTGTGAAGTCGGTGATCAGTAAAGCTTTAAAGGTGTTTGACTGTATAATGAGTTTGTCGTCTTGAAGAGGCAAGCCATTTCTCCACGCATTCACGAGAATGTGTCAAGTAGGGTTCGGATTCGACTTACCCAAGTCACTGATGGGAGTATACGGTCGAACCACGGGAAGCCAGCGCCCTTCAGGGTGGGTAATTGCCAAGAGTGCAGCTAATAAACGTCAGCAATTGTCCGAGTACAGAAAAGCTGCTTCGGGGGAGGCAATACAAGTCAAAGGCAGGCCACTGCGAGCGGTTTTGTCGGGATACTCGAAGACAAGTCGTTTCGTATTATGATTGACGGTCTCGGTGCTCTGCAAGCGTAAAGTCGTAAATCCCAGGCCAGAAAACACTGCTTTTGGTTCGTTTGATTCCGCAAATACTGTAGAGAATTGTTTCGTGCAGTAGATACCCAGACCGGCGAATCCAGCCACACCAGCAACCTTGACCACCCTAGGGATGGTGCGCTGAATGAGAGTCATCTTCTGATAGAAACAAGACTAGGGTATAAATTTAAGGGAAAGTTAAAGGTAGGGACCGAGTAGAAGATTGGGACTGAACTGGCATTCTGCGACATAAATAGGTCGTCCATTCAAAACTGCTACATAGTGCCTGGGACGAAGGATCTTAATAGCTACTGCAGGAGTGTGGGCCTGGGGGCGAAGGTCCCCCAAATGAAAGGTCATACGACGAGACTCATTGATAGAACCTAAGACCTACTTCGGAATCTGGGACCCAATTGGTGAGTGGCAGAGGTAGGCTACACAGCACAAGTCGATGCTTTTTGGATGCAGTCCCTAAAGCCGAGCGACATTGTCCAAACTCCGACAAAATCCGAGCCACTGGATGATGTCAGCGTGGTGTGTGTGCCTGGGCGGCGGGTCGGTGCCTTGATCTTCCCGCTATCAAAGCGGGTCCACCAGGTAAAACAATCAACAAACGGTGACATTTCGACTTTTTTCCCTGGCCAAAGGGTCCTGCTTTGATACTGATGTTCCGGTCTCTCTGTGATCCGTGGAATGACCTCGCTCGATCGTATTGTGCCTGCCTAGGTCAACTTCATGCGCGATCCTTCAATCGTCACTATGCTCGGCTCACACATGGCAGTTTCGAACATGTATATTTCCAATCCATGGCAGGCATAGCACCTTTGGTAGAACCATCTCAATGGTCATGAATACAGGCAATACACAGTCGACTATCGGTCTAAGGGGGCCCAGTATACTTGGCAGAAAAGAAGCATCTTTCCAACAGACAGATGTCGGGGACAAGGATCTCCGGCTACCAGGTAAGTACAACTAAGTACTCCATACATGAACAGGGTATCTGGCGGCCCGCAGATCTCGACCCCCCGCAGCGGGACGACCTATGGGCGAGAGCTAACTGGAGTGGAGCGCGGGTCACTCAGGTTGTACAGGACTACAGGTTGGTGCGTTGACCGGACCAAGGGTATATAGCCGCTCTTCAAGACCCCACATGCAGAGTGAGACCTAGCTGTCAGTTTTGCATCTACGTTGAAGCCTTGGAAGGCTGATCGCGCAGCTTCATGAGGCTTTCTGACTTCTGTTAATCCCACTTATCAGAGTCGAAACCAATGATACGTCCACAGAAGGATCCATGATTGGGTGTATCGCTCATGCACTGTACCTTGCATAATCTTCGGACAACGGTTCGCCACGGGCCTGAGTACACACAAGACTTTGGTGACCACCCGCTTCCAAGAAGCCGAGAGATGCGAAAACTCGAGCTAACCCAGAGATATATCAAGAAGATTTGCCAAGGCGTAGCGAAGCATCTGAGGTGAATTGATCGTTGCGTTGTCCAAGTGTGCCTGCACATGAGCGATAGCTGTTCGCCCTGACGCTATTCCCCGGGAGCTTCTCCATGGAGAATCAATACACAAATCCTCTCCATTTGACCTGCTTGAAGTGCCGGTACTCCTTAGATTGTGATGTTTGAAGACAGAGGTGAGTGCAAATGAACTTTTTCGATCGAGCCGTGATTTCATTTGCACCGTACATCAAGCGCGAGTGGTGATTGGCGAGCGTTGTCCATCCCAGAAAAGCAGTATATCTTTGAGTCGATTTTATTGACGCATCTCGATAATTCGAGAAGTGATGGTGGCTCGTGATTGTGCCTGTTTCGACAACAAAGTTTTCAAGACTGTTCAGGATCGCACGGGACGCCTAGCATTCTCAGAGGGTTGTAAAATGGTCGAATAACGACGGGGGATCGTTTGAATATCATGTTCCACCACTTCACTTGTCGAGCCTGATTATTGCGACTTGATAATTTGGCGTGAGCGATCCTCAATGTAGTAGGGTGGCCAGATGCTTCATCGGAGATGGGTTTGTGGGCCTGAGGGAACATGATCTAATCTGCAGTAAATAATGCCATCTTACCGGGGCTTCAGACCACACCGAGCGACCCGGAATAACGTGTGTGACGGAACACCGGTCAAGTCGGTTGAAAGGAAGCTGCAGGGAAGAACAGGGGAAGCGTGGGTTGATGAAGAATGTAAGAATGGGGGCTATTCTGCATGGGACGTCAGAACCGGAAGGTGGGCGCCTGCGTGTCGGCTAAGTAAGGTAGCAGCAGGCAGTAAGTAGGTATGGGCCAAACAGCCAAACAGCGAGACAATGAATGCCCAGCCCAGTCCGGAATGGGCCTATTCAGGCGGAGAACCATTAACATTATTCACCACCATAACAATAGCAAAAGCAGGGGCACAAAAGTTAACCATCCACAATCACCCGACCGAAGCAGTCACCGGGTGGAGAGAAGAGGGGGGGAAGAGACACACTTTCTCCGCAAAAGGGCGAGGGAAAAAGGTGGAAAAAAGCCCTCGGGTTGGGTCGAGGCGGCCGACCCAAAGCCGCACCAACACTTTTTTGAGGCTGACTTTTCTAGCGTCATCACTAAAAATTATCCTCACGGATTAACCTACTTTCCCCCTCTGTCCTTCACTGCGGAGCTCTCCTGCAACCCCCCATCACTCAACGCCCTTCGGACGTCCCCCATCGTACTCCTGATATCTTCCTTGTCGGAAGTCTCCCCTCTCATCCTTTTAGTGATTCTTTATTCTGAGACGCGCACAGGAACTCCCTTGGCGCGTTTCCCGCTCTTGAACAACCGCAATCATGGGTTCGTCTCAACCCCTCCTCATCCGGCGCACTGTCCCAATTTACGCCTATATTGTATGCTCTGGCTGGTCCTTGATACTAACGTCTCTATCTACGTATAGCGCCCGCAAAGCAGAAAGCCCAGAAGATGTCTCTGGGCAACTTCTTGGCCGATGAGAGTATGTCCATGTGGATTCGCATCGTCGCGAGGATGGACTGTGCTAATAAGGAATAGACTTCGGCTCCTGGGCTGACGAGATGGAGGACATGCCTTTGCCTGGTAAGTAACCGGTTCTTTGCCTCCAGTCCATCACTTTTGCTAATAATGACGCCCTCCTAGCCGGTACGATGGTCACGATACTTTCCTGTTCAGGATAATGCTAAACAGTCATCAGCTCCCTCCATGTCCAGCTTCGGAGGCGAACGCCGCTCTGCTGCTCCTTCTTCCGGTTTTGGCAATAGTTTTGGTGGTACGGAACCCGTCCCCGTGTGTTGTTGATGTTTGCTCTGGAATATATGTTTGATGCTGATGGGAGAATGGGAGAACAGAGCGTGAGCGTGGTGGCTACGCCGTGAGAGAGCCTCTTCCTCTTCCGACCCAGCCCCCCTACACTGCTCACGTCGGAAACCTGTCGTTTGATGCGACCTCCGCCGACATTTCCGACCTGTTTGTCGACTGCAGCGTGACCAACGTCCGTGTTGTTGAGGACAAGTTGACGAAGGCCCCCAAGGGCTTCGGATACGTCGAGTTCGAGACTGTCGATGGCCTGAAGAAGGCACTCGACCTCTCCGGCGCTACCCTTCAGGGCCGTGCCATCCGCGTTAGCATTGCCGAGCCTCGTGAGTATTCTTCCCCACAGATGATTGTCCGTGCTAGCTGACGGTTCCTATAGCCAAGGAGCGTGATGTCAAGGAGTTTGACTGGACTCGCAGAGGTCCCCTTCCGGAGCTTCCCCAGCGCCGTGTTCCCGACCGCTCCTCTTTCGGACGCAACCTCGACAACGTCTCTGACGCCGGTAGCGAACGGGCCAGTGGCCGTCGCAACTTCGAGAGTGATGGAAAGTTCCGTGATTTCGGCAACTGGGAGCGCAAGGGTCCTCTCTCCCCGCCACCTGCCCCCGTGAGAGAAGGCCGTCCCCGCGGTGACGACGGCCCTGGTTTCAGAAGAAGCTCCCCCGGCTGGGGTGAGGGACGCTCCCAGGATGGCTCCCGCCCCCCTAGACGCGAATTCCAAGAACGTACTCCTACTGCTGCCGACCTCGATAACCAATGGAGATCCAAGATGCGGCCCGACCAGCCCGCCAAGGAGCCCAGCAACCCTCCTTCGCCCGCTGCCGCCCCTGCTGCTCCTGCCAGCCGCCCTCGCTTGAACCTCCAAAAACGGACTGTTACTGACGCCGCCCCTGCGTCCGCTACCACGGAATCCAAGGCCAGCCCATTCGGTGGTGCCCGCCCCATCGACACTGCCGCTCGTGAGAAGGAGGTCGAGGAACGTCGCCAGATCGCCATCCGCCAGAAGAAGGAAGCGGACGAGAAGGTGAAGGCTGAAAAGACCGAGAAGACCGAGAAGCAGCGTCCTGCCAAGGAGCAGCAGCCCAAGACTGAGAAGTCTGGATCGCCGGCTGACCCCAATGGCCGCGACACCGCCGAGCACGCCCAGGGTGGCAAGAACTTCGACATCCTCCGGCAGGCCGGCGAGGATGAGAGCGGCATGCCTGCTGATCAAGACAAGACGGAAGAGACCGCTGCCGCTGCCAAGGGCGCCGAAGCCTCGACCGATGCTCCCGCCAGCAAAGCGAACGGCAACTGGAGGGCCGGGCCTGCCGAGACCGGCGCCGACGACGAGGGCTGGAGCACCGTGAGCTCCAAGCCGCGCAACAACCGTCGTGGCGGCCGCACGTTCGCATAGATAGTACCGATACCCCAAAGCTGGTCATCAGCTGACTGAAACCTTGCGCCATGCCTGGAGATGTGCGTCGTGAAAAGACCTCGCTCTTGCTCCCCCGGGCTCTGATCCCGGTCGCTTCTGGCTGTCGTGGCCCGGTGGATTTTGGTTACGTCGATGTCCAATTGTTTTGATGTTCCTATCGTCCTCGCTTCTTTTACCTTCTCCTTTCTTTTCCCTACGGGTTGCCGCCTCCGTCTAGATCTATGATTCAGGTCTAGCCCCTTGTTTATCCGTCGAGCATGTCGAAAAGTTTTCTTTTCCCATTTCCTAGTGTTGTTCACGTTTCTCCGAGCTAGTTATTCCCATGTACGTGGATGAAGTGTTATACAGCAATGACCCTTATGGCTGATGCGAAGGAAGAAGAGTATTCTTTTATCTTTGAATTGCTGAGACCCCGTCGATTAATTTGCACCCCGCCCCCGTCGGCCTTTGGCTGTCGGGACGTTCCTATGTCTTCTACCTACTCTATCTTGCTCTGGAACCGGGATGGCGTGTGGAGTCCTATTCTTTCTTGTTCACCTACCGGAGCCATCCTGTCTCTTTTAGTTGACGAGGCAACCATACGAATAAGATTACGATTCAACAACGGCGGTCGCTGGCGGCTTTGTATTGGTTTTCGAACGGACTTTGCATTGCGATTGGAGTGGTCGTACATGGGATGTCTGTCTGTATTTGTATTTTGCTATGGGTGGTCGGCTTAGTTCTACCTACCGTGTTGCTTAGTTCGCTCGTAATCGCTTGGGATGGATGCAGATAGAATGCACCTGCTACCTACTAAAGTCCTACTACCTACCTACCTTGCTATCTATCTATCTATCTGTCTACCTATCTATCTACGCAGTATCGACTAGTTCCGTTTCGTTTCACCCGATCTCCACATTTCAGCTACTACCACACACCACACACCCACCACATTACGATCAATTCTTGTGCAAGTACGTGCCAAAAAAAACATGCACAGGTACTCATTCATAAGTAAACCTAGGTAACTTCTAAAAGCAAAAATAATACGAACTCCAATCATCAAGAACGGACAAATTGGAAGGATTGAAGGCGGCGGGGAAAAACCTAAGGCGCCCACGCACCGCCTGGAGACCCGAGCTGAAAGCAGTAAAGTAATCCCTTCCCAATGGCAAATGGCGGGCGGTCCCCGCGGGCCCCAGCGCTGAAGATCTGCCGCCCCGTCAAATCCCTAGGGAAAGTAAGTAGGCAGGTAGTTCTGTCAGCTCCGTGCCAGATCAGACCAGACCAGACCAGCCCACCCTGGTGTGTGTCTTGTCGGGTCGGGGAAACTAACTAACTAACTGACTAACTAACTAATTGAACTGATTATTGAGGTGAGTGATTAGGCCCGCTGCTACGTAACTCGAAAACTTATCTATCTTGGTGTATCTGGGTAGATAGAGAAAGAGATTCTCTATCTGCTTACCTGTTGATATCTACCCCACACATATTCTTTTTTTCTTCTGCTGCTTATTTGAGTAGCTTTCGCTTTTGTTTGAGTCGTTGTTGTTGTTGTGATTCTTTCTCGGTTGTTTGAATTCTTGTGTGGGTGTCTGTCGGTCGGTCGATGTCAGTATGCATTCGGACGAGCCTCGCGATATGATCTCAGGTGCTGGAGAAAGGGATGGGGATGCTGCTGGCACAGCGCCGTGGAAACTTGGGTTTCGGTCGTCCCGGGCGTTTGTGATTTGCGTGGTCGCGATTGCGGTTTTTACGGTGAGTTCTCTGTCGCCTTGGTGGTGGTGGGATGAAATTGGAGTGTTGGGTCTAATGTGAGCGATGGTGAGCTTAGGATGTCTTTATCTATGGCATGGTGAGATGCTCCTCCACAACTGGCATTTCTCCCTCGGGTTCGCCTAATCTGTGATAGATCGTGCCCATCTTACCGATTGTGCTTAAAACACGGGTGATTGTTCCAGAGGATGAGCGTATGTGGTGTTTCTTGTCAACTGGGATGAGCAGATACTGATGGCGCATAGTTCAAACATGGATGTCAATCATGCTTGCTGCGTTTGGTGGGGGCATATTCTTTGGGTCGCGTGAGTTTCTGTCTGTCTGATTACTGTGCGATCGGTGCGCTAACGAGGTATAGCCATCTTCGGTTACTTCGCAGATCGAAGCACCTCGCGACAACTTCCATTTCTGATCGGACTGCTTGCGCTCGCTGGGACGACTATCGTGTTCTGGTTTGCGGAGACGGTCTCGTCGCTGGTCATTGCGCGATGTCTCCAGGGCCTCTCGGCGGCCGTGGTCTGGACGGTGGGTTTGGCCCTTGTCGTTGATACGGTGGGGAAGGATCAGGTGGGAGCTGCGATGGGATATGTGTCCATGGCTCTGACCGTGGGGACTGTGTTTGGTCCGTTTATTGGAGGTATTATGTGAGTTTATGTCTTGTCGCACTGGGACTAGGGTGCTAATGGCTTAGGCTGTCGCGAGTGGGCTATCATTCGGTGTTTGTATTGGCAATTGGTTTGATTGTCCTGGACATCAGCCTTCGACTTGTCATGGTCGAACGCAAGTCCGCCTCTAAATGGATCCAGTCGGATGAGGGTGGCGAGACAGAGGGCCTGCTGAGTGGCGCGACGGAAGAGCGTGGTGTTGGGTATGCTGCTATTCCGGATGATGGCGCCGGTCAGACGTCTGTCCCAGGCGAGCCGCTGTCCAGCGGCAAGGCGACATCCGTGCCGGGAATTATTCGCTTGATGTGCTCGGGCAAGCTACTGGTCGTCCTCATGGCGACGGTAGTTGATGCGATCATCTGGTCCGCTTTCGATACAGTAAGTATTCCTAAAGAGCGCGATCCCTTTCCAATTGCTCATGTCGTCAGGTGCTTCCACTGTACGTAATGAAAACGTTCGGATGGGGATCGTTCGAGATCGGACTCTGCTTCCTGCCACTATTTGCGCCGTCTTTCCTCTCGCCATGGGTTGGTATGTATCCGGCGACCTCGATGCCTCTGACTCTGCTAACAAGATCGCAGGCGATGCCGTTGACCGCTGGGGAGCACCCCGGGTCGCCTTCCTCGGCTTCCTGCTCGATTTCCCTACGCTGCTGCTCTTCCAGCTCGTCGCACGGAACACGACTCAAGATCAGGTCCTCCTCTATGTGTTCCTTTGCTTCGCAGGAGTTGCGTCCACCCTGCAGATGGTATCTCTGATGACGGAGGTCAGCAACGTTACGGAACGGTACGAGAGAGAGTTCCCCGGCATCTTCGGGAAGCAGGGTGGTACTGCACAGGCCTACGGGCTGTTCAACGTCGCCTGGTCCGGCGGACAGGTACTGGGGCCCCTGGTTGCGGGTGTCCTCGTCGAACGAGCCGGGTGGACGACCATGGTGACGGTGTTGGGAGCAGTCAGTGGAGGAATGTCGGTGGTGATTGCTCTCTCGGACCGGAGAGTTCTGCCGTTGGGGAAGAAGAGGTGATGTCTCATGATTCACGATTCACGATGCTAAAAGCTGCAATGATGTGCATGGATGAGTGACGATTGACGGATTGAGGAAGGCTATGGGGTTATCGTTATCCGATAATGACTGTATGATGATCATGTGTTGTGTGTAACGTCCAAGATGAAGTCTGCAAGGGAGTATGCGAGGCAATATAGGGTATTCTTCAGAAGGCATTCATTCCCCTTCCACATAGGTTAAATTGAAGATCTCCCGACCAGCAAGGGAGGGATCTTTATTCAAGCTGCAGGATACCTCATGGATTATCCTCATGGCTGGTGTTACCCTGGCGATTGATCGTAAACAGAGGGGTGAGGCAGGAATGAACCGGCTTCCAGACAGGCCATCTGGATTGACCTGAGAGACGTTGAGAGATGCGAGTGGCCGCGGTGAAATGACGAGTCCAGCAACTAGCCGGCGGGTCTCAACGGCGCGATCCACACGTGTCACGCCCACCGCGGATCCTACGAGCATCCCTCGAGTCGTCGACGAAGCCCAACAGGCTGGGGAGGTTGGCCTGGAATGAAGGGCCCCGATATGATATCGCATCCCCGACGAGCACACCGTGTCCCCAATGGTGAGTTGGAGGAGGAAGAGGCCTCATTCCTGGAGAGGATGGAACCTGGCGGCTCCCCACCGCTTCCCGGCGCAGGGACCGTCCAGATGCCTCGCCGTCTTCCTCTTCTTCCTCTTCCTTCGGCCGGCTTACTTCCAACGTCCTCCTGCTGACCTGCATTAATCCTCCATCCTCTCCGGGCTCTGCGTTGTCGGGCTGCCTCCAGACAGGGATTTCTCGTCCAACCTCCTTCCCTTGCCTCCGCTGCACAACTGCAGACCGTTCCTTTTTCAGTCCGTTTACTTTGGCCTCCTATTTAATCGCCTCCCTCCCGCGTTCTGCGACACTGGTCCGGCATCCTTTCATTTCATTCCCGCACCCCAGTTTCACGCCTGGGTCGCTGACGTTGCCTCGAATTGTCACCCAGAACATCACGGTTACATCCACCTTCACCTAATGCGACCCAAACCATGTCGACCACCACAACCACCACCGCTCTAACATCCACCACCCTCATCGGAACGCTGCCCGCCATGGCAAGCGCCGCCGCCCTGGTCTCAGGAAAGACTTGTCCTACATGCGGACAAGATGGATTCATAGCTGCCGGTCAATCAGCAGACGATTCCCGCCGCCGAGTCAAGGACCTCGAAGGCGAAGTGAACTCTTTGAACATTCAAGCATCACAAATGGGTAGGACACTACGAACCCCCATTCTTTTCTAGACTCAACTAACGGAATTAATGCTTACAGCCGAGAAACTGGCCGCATATGAAGAAGAGATCCGACGGCTGCGATCGCAGCCCAACTCCCGGAACGGTTCCTCCGTATCGTCCACCTCGTCGACGCAAGACCGATCCCTATCTCCTACTCAGCTCCTGACATCCCCGAAATCACAACCAGGGCGACTCTCTACCCTCGCCTCCTTCCTCCCGTCTCGTCGACCCAGCGCTACCAGCTCGACGCAGGCCCTGTCGGTCGTCTCTCCCCCACCCCCGCCCCCGCCCCCGCAGAACACTAGCCACGAGGAGACAGTGGAGTTACAGAATGCACTGGATCGGGAACAGAGTTTGCGCAAGGCTGCGGAAAGCCAATTGTCGCAGGCGAGCACGGAATTGGAGGAGTTGACGGCGCAGCTGTTCAGCCAGGCCAACGAGATGGTGGCGCAGGAGCGCAAGGCACGTGCGAGATTGGAAGAACGGGTAGCAGTGCTGGAGCGTCGAGATGTCGAGAAGCGGACTCGACTGGAGCGCTTGGAGAAAGCGATGGAGAGAGTGGAGCGGATTCGCGCGCTGGTTGGGTAGGTGCAGCGTGCATAATGTTTGTGTGGTTTGGTTTCGGTTCCCTTCCTGTTGTTTGTCTTATACCCATACCGCACATACCCTGGTGTTCTGGTGACGGCTATTATTCCCTTTGATTTCGGATTGCATGAGAGATGCTGACCTGACGGCTCAATGGGTCAATGCTCATACTTATGAGGGTGATGATTAGCATTTGGCGGGCGTTTGTTTTTTTTCCCTTCCCCCTCGTTTTTATTACTAGGAACTGGCCTGCGGGAAGTCTCCAGCCCAAGGCGTTTCGAATGGCCTTAGTAAGCACCTCATTACGCATCATAAAAAGCATGGAATCAGATGCATCCTGTAAAGCTAAAGAAGCCAAGCAGTGCTTAAAGACTTCAACCCAGCAACCCAAAGGGCTATGTCAAGCGCTATCTAAAGGGTTTAATCAAGTAGTATTATTCTACAAGACGGCAAGCGGGGCGCCGGAAACGGCTCCTATTGAACCGCCCTTCTGCCCGCTTCCACCGCCTGCTGCTGACAGTCATCGGCCTGCCCGTTGTGGTAAGGCTCTTACTCCACCACCAAACTACCAGATAAACATTGCTGTCTTTGAGGAAACGAATCTGCGCTTCCCCTCTTCGGCCCCAACAGTTACTCGTCTGGCACCGTCTGTCCTTCGGTCTTGGGCGAACAGAAAACATGAGATTCCGCGAGCAGCTAGTTGTACGCCCCGGTTACCATATACAAACACCTTCAATTGCCATGGGCATATTCTTCGCAATTTAGGCAAATATCCTAGATGATAAAATACACTTTAACATTTTGATTCACTTTCTCCGCTTTCATCTCATATTCGTTTAGGTCCACTTGTATTTTCGATAGGCACACAATGCAAGTATACCAATTGGCAGTATCCCCAGAGGCGGAAGAGCATGCACTGGGAGGAGACTCGGCCAAACAGACCGAACATCATCCCCACTTCGCTCCTTTCCTCCATAATCTGCATTTCCAATGTCCAAGAGAATCTGACGGGCCTCCGTATATTGCGAGGTCCAACACTTATAAATGACGGTTCCATATCTCAAGCCCTCCACCGACGGAAAGACCCCACGATCATAGTTATCTGCAATGATTTCCCAATCATCATCGCCGATATCCTCGTAAGGGCGTGAGCCCACCACAATCTCAAAAATCAGACAACCAAGAGCGAACAAGTCCGTCTGGAACGATCGAGGCTCGTCAGGAGATTTCCTATACCGATCCTCTTCCATAACAACAGGGGACAAATCCCCGATGCCCGAGCCTGCGAAATCGCAAAGTTTGATGGAGAGATCATCCGCAACAAGAAAGTTGCGGACGCTGATATCTCCGTGAATAACGGAATGGGCGTGGATAAATTGCACTGCCATCACGGCATTCTGTATCCAAGTATCTTTAGTTAGATCATCCACCTGTGCGGAGTTCTTCCGGATGTAATCACGAAGGTGTCCATTGTGCATGTACGGAAAGCGAATGCTGGTCTCTGTTATCTTGAGGCAATTGAGAATGTCCCTGTGCTTAGGAAGAGATCGGTATATGAGTTTTTCTCGTTCAAGGCTCATCGAGGAGAAGGACTCTTCCTCTTGCATGGATAGAATGGTCTCTTCGCTGCATCTACTCAGGTCATGTCGAAGCGGACTTTTTAGAACTTCGGTGTCGTTGTAGGAATCGCGACAGATTATCCCAGAGGAACCAAATGCGACCATAGGTCGGCGAACGCCAGCTGGGTAGATGATTATGGGGTGAGCCATGACATATTAACGTTTGGGGATGCTGCTAGAATAAGATTCATTCATTCATTCATCTTGTCCAGGGGCAACCGATCCATCTTATATAAGAAAGCCGCCTGAGAGAGTAGATATTATGTAATCATAGGATTGGACGTTTCCGACCAATGAGGCTTCCAGAACACACAAGCTTCAGCGTATTTCAATTCCTAGCGACTGGATGAAGAGGCACCCGCGGAATTGTTATCGGTCTTTCTCTATTTGATGTTTAGTCAGTCACTCTTTAAAGAAATCTCTTGTTCTTACCCTGCATGTCGGACAATCAAAGATTCGGTTTGTACTGCTGGGATTGTAGACAGTTCGCTTGATCACACCGCAATCATCATCGGAGCATGGATCAACTCTGGTGTCTGGTTTGACGCACTTGCATTTATACTTCACGTTTATTATGTATGCGGTGCACATGATGAAAGAGACAGCTATGGAGATTCTAGATCAATGAAGAAAATTGGTTGACTGAGATGGGAGAGGTGATTTTGTGAGAGGGGGGGGAGTGACTGGGTATTTATGCATTCAGCTTTTCTTTTCTTCGCACTGAATGTAATTGTGCACTGTAATGATACTTGTCCACATAGTTACTTTACTCACCATAATAGGTCGACGTACAGAAATGGAAGCAGAACGACTGACAGATGGAATTACATTGAAGAAATCTGGGTCTAGTCGAGATACAGGTTGCTTCTTAGACAGGTATGAAAGAAAAAAACACTGCAAACTTCCCTTGCCCATGAGCTACCTGATCTAGGGTGCTTCGAAACTTAGTTGTATGGGGATAAGACAGATGTATATATATACGGTTTCTTTCCTTGACTGCAATATTTATCACTTATCTGACAAGTTATACTCATTAATTCCAACCCAATCTGAATTATGAATCCCAATAGTAGTAGTAACCCCAACCCACCACGATAGACCCCGCCATCCAAATCCGGGACTAGTTTAATTAGCAGTCTCCACTCGTACCAATCCCAGATTACATTTATAGAATCCCGGGGCCCTGGTTCATAATCCCTCGTATCTATCCCTATTCATACTCCCATTGGTCTTATTATCTTATTTTCATCTTTTTTTTAGAGCATAAAATGGCCATCGGAATAGCTATTATCGGCAGCGGTACACACCCACATGCTATACTCAAGCAATTGCAAAATTATACTCTATTTATCATTAAACTAATCTAATTGATATTTAATTAGGCAATTTCGCAAGGGAAGAACATCTAGTACGTTCAATTCCTATACCCATACCCATACCCATACAGAAAAGCACACATACATACAACCAACCCACAATTAAAACCAACACATCCTAACAATAAGATAGCCCCTCCTCCACGCCTCCACCACCTTCAATCTCAAAGCCCTCTACTCCCGAACTCACGCATCAGCCGAAACCCTCCTCGCAGAGAAAAACATACAATCTTTAGATATCTATTCCGAGGACTCGGGTCCAGGAAAGCAGTACGAAGATTTACTGGCTCGGGAGGATGTAGATGCTGTTGTTATTGCGTGAGTTCATTACTACTATACCCATACCCATACCCTCATTTAACTAACGAGAGTGGAGGGGGGGGGGGAAGACTACCAATCACCGCCCAGCCAACCTACATCAAACATGCCCTATTGGCCGGAAAACACGTGTTAAGTGAGAAGCCTATTGCCGGGGATTTGAGCACCGCTCGGTCACTGCTTTCGTTTTATCAGACGGAAGTGGTGGAGAAGGGTGAGAAGAAAGTGTTGTGGGGCGTGGCAGAGAATTATCGGTTCTTGGGCAAGTTCAGTCGTGTGGCGGAGGAAGTGAGGAAATTGGGGACTGTGAGGGCGTTTAGGGTGTCGGTGAGGACGTTGATTAAGGTGGGGTCGAAGTATCATCGTATGTTTTTCTCTTTCTTTTTTTCTTTTCTTTGGTTTGTTGGTTGGTTGGGGGATGGAGTAGGGGGTTTGGGATGGGCTAACGTGCATAGAAACCGAATGGCGACGTACCCCTGCTTATCGAGGAGGATTTGTCCTTGATGGAGGTATTCATGTTGTCGCTGGGTTGAGACTCATCCTGGGGAAGGAGGATGCTCTTGCGGCCGTGTCGGCCATGTCGTGTCTGCAGCAGGAGCATCTGGCGCCGGTGGATACGGTGGATGCGGTGGTCAAGACTAAGTCCGGGGCTACGGGGGTGGTGTCGTTGTCGTATGGAGCGGCCGTGAATGAGACGGTCTTTGAGTTTAGTTGCGATGGGGGCGTGGTGAGTCTTAACCTGGACCGAGTGACTGCTAATGGGGAGTCGTTTGATGTGCCGTTTGAAGGTCGGGGTGTCAACTTTGAATTGGCTGCGTTTGGGGAGTCGATTCGGAAGGGTGAGTTGGAAGAAAGACTGCGGCCGGACGAGGCCATGGCCGATTTGGAGATTATGGAGGGGATGTTTGTGAGTGATGGAGGGTGTGTCCAGTTGGAATTGCAGTGATAGACGTTAGGCAATAAAGAGGGTAGAAGTATATAGGGATAAAGAGTCAGACGTGTGCTTCTTGCAGGTCTGTTTATTTATGTCGTTTCATCACATGCTATGCGGCGCCGGACAAGTTAATGATTGCCATCTGGACAGGATGCACCGCTCTCCTCACAGTAGCGGCAGAGATCAGAATCTCCGTCATCACACTCAGTGCAGTGGAAGTGGTACTCCATGTCCGGTATGCTCACTAGACAGACATCACAAGCTGTCTTACCCTGGTTTTCAGTCACTTGACCAACTTTTAGAACTCCAGCACAAGCAGTAGCTTCTTCTTGACCGGAAAAGTAGGCGCACAACTTCTTCATGGCCCTTTCTGCTGCCCATGAGAGGGGAGTCCCACCGTATATAGGATCGCTGTGTTGCTGTTCTGCCCCGTTCTCTAGCAACGGCGTCACAGTCCTGCTACCACCCAGCAGTGAAGCCGCCAGCAAAGGTGTAAGGCCGTCGCGGCTCTTGTAGTTTGGATCAGCTCCTCCCCCTAAAAGTAACATGGCCATGGTCTCATGGTCACTTCCTGCAGCCCATAGGAGTGGGGTCTCCCCAGTCATCGGGTCTTGGAGTTTTAGATTAACATCCTGGCTCAGTAAGACTTTGACCACATCCGCATTTCCTTCCATAACCGCCCACATCAGAGGATGTCGGTTGAGCATTGATTTAGTAAGGATAAGTTCGGCACCATTGTCCAGTAAGAATTGTACCACATTTGCATGTCCTTTTCTGACTGCCCAAATCAACGGTGTCAAGCCCTGTTGAGCGTCCTCCAGATTGGGATCCGCCCCGTTCTTTAGCAAGACTTTGACAACCTCGATATACCCGTGGTAAGATGACCGTAGTAATGCAGACTTACCAGCCCCATCTATGTGATCTGGGTCGATACCTTGGCTGAGCAGCAACTGGGTTACGGATGTATGTCCAAGACAGCGGAGTCCGGCCTTTGTAATCACTTCCAACGAGATCGACACCCTTTGTCAGTAAGAGTCTAACAACTCCCTCATGGCTGTGTCCAGCTGCCCAACTCAGTGCGGTCCAGCCGTATTCAGTGTCCTTGATATCTGGGTCACAATTTGCCTCCAGCAAGAGCTTGACAACCTTGTCTTGACCATATCTTGCCGCCCATAACAATGGGGTTTGGCCGTAGTTATCCAGACAGTTCTTGTTAGTTTTGTAGACCAGCAATTGATGGACAACTGAGTCATGACCATTTTCAGCTGCCCGTGATAAAGGGGTCCTGCCGTTGTTACATTTTAAGTAAAACGTTTCCTGATAGTATTTGCGAGGTCCAATATGGCGAGGAAATCCCCGACTCCATATCCGAAGCTCATAGCGTGGCTAGGCGGGGTAGTTCGTTTGTTTGGCAGACGATAACAGACAACTTGAGTATGTTGTCAACTTGCTATAAATGTTTGAAATAACTTCCAAGAGGGAATGAGAAGACAGTCATTGTATGGGCGTTGATGTCCAATGCCCAGCTTGGTTTCTTCGAATGACAGTTTTGAAGAAAAAGGTGACAGTGGCGGAGTACTGTGATAAGGCCTGAAGGAAGAGCAGAGCGTCCATTACTTAGTACCAGCTGCACGCTGCGCCACTCACAGGTAGTCATTGATCATCAAGCGTAAGACGGGTGTTCAGGGACCAGGGACTTGTTATTCAGGATTTGATGATTCACAGGAAAGAAAAGTCATAGAAGTCACTGTTATAAGAAAAGCATGATGATACAGGAGTAGTCCTACAAAAAGGTAGAAGTACTTTTACGAAACTGAACCAAACCAAACAGCCCAGGAGAGTCAGTCTACTTGGTATAAGCATCGGAGAGTCGGAGAAAGCAGCTGCAGTGTTGCGGAGTACCCAGACACAAGCCGATTCCGCACTATACCCCATACGGCAAGGTAAGAGTTATCCCCAGCACCAAGACTCCTGAGTCAGCAATGCCAGCACAAACCCGGGTGGGCAAGGGCTAGCGGGGCGAGCCCTAACGCACCGAGAGCAGTTAGACTCGCTAAGCGAGCCACTAGCTCGACTCTCTCGGGCGGCCAAACCTGAGCGCGAATTTTCGAGATCGATTTCGACCCGTACGACAACTCCCAGCGCCAGCCCGCGAGACGACGACAAGGTATGTGATATTGTTGCCGGTTGTTTGCCTGTTGCAAGCTAATCGAGTTCAGATGGTCCTCGCAAAGAAGCACGTCCCCATCGTCAAGAAGCGTATGTCCTTTCTTTCCTCCCTGCAATCCCAGCCCAGTCCAGAGTCGTCAGAGCCAGAGTCGATCCGTCCGTCGGTTGTCAGTCGTCCAGCAAGCATGATGAGGATTACACCCGGTGCGGAGGAATGAGCAAGTGTCGAATGATCGAAGCGAGCGAATTTTTCGAAGCGCGAGAAAGAAGCAGAAAAAATATCGGAGACGAACATCATCATCATCGGCGAAAAAAGAATTTGATTTCATCCATCATTTACGACGGGAACACTCGATTCGAACAATATTCATCACACACAAACATACCCACCCCTCAACAAAACAATTGACCAGAAGTGCTTGCTGGACTACGGACGGATTGAACTGAGCCTCCAGACAAAGACTACGTTACGGGATAACGAAACGGACTTCCCCCACGACTAACATATCCCTTTTCCAGGCACCAAGCGTTTCTGGCGCCACCAGTCCGACCGCTTCAAGTGCGTGCCGGAGTCATGGCGCAAGCCCAAGGGTATCGACAACCGCGTCCGTAGACGCTTCAAGGGCAACATCCCCATGCCCTCCATCGGCTACGGTTCCAACAAGAAGACCAAGCACATGATGCCCTCCGGCCACAAGGCTTTCCTCGTCCACAACCCCAAGGACGTTGAGCTTCTGTTGATGCACAACCGCACCTACGCCGCTGAGTATGCGCCCCTCCCTCCCTCTCCCCCCACCTATATTCAAACACGTAAATACTAACAATCCAAACAGGATCGCCAGCGCCGTCTCCTCCCGCAAGCGCGTCGACATCATCGCCAAGGCCAAGGCTCTCGGCGTCAAGGTCACCAACCCCAAGGGCCGCGTCACCACCGAGGCTTAAATGGATATGGAATGAATGTAAAGAAAGCCCAGAAATTTCATCATTTTCATTTTCTATTTTAAAATCTCAATCTTATACCAAAATGGGATATCCGAGCTTCAGAAAAAATGGAAGGAAGACCGTACCCCGTTCGTTGCCTTGCCCTTTCGTGGCGGGTGGGGACTTGTGGAGCTTTGAATCATCTTATCTCTCTTCTGTGGGGACTTACTTGACGATCGACGTATGTGCTGGATTGCAAAACGTAATGATGGATGTGATATGATATGATTTTGTTGTATAGCATGTCATGTCGTCTGCGTTTTGTGGTCGTGGGCTGGTTGGCTGGTGCTGCCGGTCTGGGAATAAAAATTTTCAAATATCTTATGAAGACCTCTCTTGTTTCTATTGTCTTTCTTGTTGGGTAGATGGTAGATTATGTATAGTTTGTGGGTGATGTAGATGTATGCTGCTACGGCTGTAATGGTCTATGTAGATGAGAATCTCTTGTCTATCATGGTATCAAGCAAACGAGCCCCGTATGTGGCAAATGTAGTGCATCTCACATGTCTAACAGATCTAATTGCAAACGCCAATTATGCATAATGCATCCTGAACATCCAACTTAAACTGCCGCAGCAGCAGCCTCAGCAGCCTCAGCATCGGCCTTCCTGCCGGATGAAATATCGACGAGGCCAACACCTTGCACGAGGGCAGGGATATTCGGCTCAGAGCCATCCCCCAGGTCGGGCACAACGCCATATCCGATGACGATCTCATCTTCTTCCGGGCCAAACACCCAGTCGGGCATCTCGCGCGGACCCTCCACGCCGTCCGGTGGCAGGCCCCAGCTGGGCATCTTGCTGGTGTATTTCCAACCGTCCTCTTTGTCGGAATACGCCGCAGCGTGGAGGAAGATACCCAGGTCCTCGGGCCGAGGATCCGTGTAGAGCTCCGTGTCGCAAACGGAGCATCTGTCGCCGGACAGCATCTCACCCTTGCGCTTATGGTATCTCTCCACAGCGGCTTCGTGTTCGCGCGACATGATCTGCTCCACAACGGAGCTGTCTGTGCCAGGTGGAACCAACGGCGCCGCAGTGAGGTGTGTCCGGTAGCTCACCGTGTCGGGGACTTCGGTCTTGCCGATGTTACATAGTCGATCGATAAGCTCGGAGTCGCGCTCGTCAGTAGTCTCGTTCTTGCCAAGATCGGGTCCAAAGACCTTGCGATTGGAGTAAATCGGATCGTTCGAGATTGGGTGGCCGAGGAACTGGAGGTGCACGCGGATTTGGTGTGTCCGTCCAGTCAAAGGTAGGCAGTGGACGATACTGTATCCTTCGCTTTCGTTGGAGTAGATCGGAGGTGGAGTCGCCGGCCGTCCGTCCGCATCAACGGTTTGAGGTTCCGGGGCTTGGGGAGGAATATACGCGAGACGACGGAACTTGGTCTTTGCCTCCTTGCCTGTCGCGCGAACGCGGTTGAGGCCCACCTTCGGGCTCACGGACATGATGGGCTGATCGCAGACGATGACTCCATCGGGGAACTTTCCCTTGACGCGCGCCACATACTCCTTCTGGAGTGTGCGGGCCTTGAGCTTTTTGGTCATGTTCTCCGCGGCTTTGGGAGTATTTCCGAGGAACATGACTCCAGAAGTGAGCCGGTCCAGACGGTTACAGGGTCGGGGGACCCATTCGCGAAAGCGCTGCGAGCGCATAATCTCGAGCACGGAGTTGTAGTGGTACCGACCGGCGGAGTGAACGGGCACGCCAGCAGGCTTGTCAATGACAATCAGGTCATCATCCTCGTGGATTATACCGATATCCTTCCCGGTGACGGGGGGTTCGTGGCGATGCAGGGTATGCGAAATGATTTCGCCGTTTTTGACGACGGTATGGGGGCCGGCCGGCTTGCCGTTGACGGCGACGAGGCCATCTGCTAGAGCCTTTCTCTGCAGTCACGAACATACTCATATTAGCATCCATTGTTTTGGAGGACAGCTGAACGATAGGAGTGCGTACGTAGTATTCGGCTGGGCGATCGCGAAATTCCGAGAGGAAGATATCCACCAACTCTCTGCCTCTCCAGCGCTCCTTGCAGTAGGTGTTATAGGTATAGTGGTATGGCTTGACCCGGCGCAGGCCGCCTTCGAAGTAGTAATTTGCAGGCCATGGGTCACACGGCGTGACGGCCACCTTGGGTGGCTCTTGGACTGGGTCTGGAGGGGGGACCTGAAGGGTCGTGTCGACGGGCACCACAGACATGCTGGGGGGCGGAATCCGGCCGCGTCGTATTAGATACGCGGTAATGCGGGCAGAGGGAGCCAGGAGGAGAGATGAGGGTGAAGATTAGGTAGGATAATGAAGAGGGCCTATGAAGGGGAGAGGGGAGAGAGGAGGAAAGGGGCGATGGAGAGGGGCTGGACTGGTTCCTGACTGATTTGGTCCCGCGGCGGCGAAAGAAAAGAAAAATTTGGCGTTGCGGGGAAATTTCCCCGTCGATACGAACATCAACACGGATCGCCAGCAATTGAACCCCAGCAAGGCCGCATTGCCATTGCTTTTACTGTGATTGAATTACATTTGAAGTCTAAGTTGGATTGTCACTCAAAAGACTAATTGCCTGGTTCAAAAACACAGAGCCGTGTGGCTGTATACCCCTAGCATCAAGCAAAATGGACTCATTGCAGTTTTTATATAGATCTGAATAATGGACATCTAAACCAATTGAAGCCCCGGAGATCGCTGAAAATCAAGTCGAAATAAACAAACCATATACGACTGAAAACAGTATTCCCCTGAAGTAGGTTATATTCTTTGAACCAAGTTTCCACCATCAATTGTACTAAGCGACCATTCATAATCCCGAAAAGCTAATTAAGGATGGACTTGCTACAACAAAGCCTCAACGGACAGGTCCCGGTGTAATAACATCACCATCCTATGCTGCTGCCTCCTCCTCTGCAACTCCAATCATAGGCAGGTTGGCAGCGTCTACACACCACACTTGTTCCAAGCGCCAGCAGCATGCCATTCATGATCCCCAAGATGTTTTTCTGCCTCATAAATCCAGCGCCGGACGGGGTCTGTGTCGGGTAAGAACCCCCCTTTGAGAATCCAGTCGGTCCGACCAAGGGCGTTGCTTGCAAACCGAAGGGACTCGATGTAGCTCCATTGGATAGTGGTCTGCATGCGCTCCATCTCCAGCCCCTGAATGTCCCAGTGCAAGGACAGTGCGGTCCCGGGTATTTGGGAACATACCAGACACAGGCAGCACAACAACTGATAAAATGCAGCCATGACGAGTAGCGTTTGTTGACTGCACCAGTATAAGAAGAACATTCCCACCGCTGAGGACAGACCGGCAGCCAAAACGAGAATGCCATAGGTGGTCTCCCCAAAAACCTGATCGTAAACCACGTCATCAAAAGATAGTAGGTCGGTCATCTTCTGATCGCAATGTACCACAATGAAGCCCTCTCCAGGGACCCGTATAACGAAATCGCTGGCTGGTTCGCACGGTTGGACATCAAGACTCCGAGCCTTCGAAATAGAGGCGACACCGTTGAGAGTGCTGGCGAGTGAAATGAGAACAACGGCAATGACTGCAGGCCAATCTTCAAGCACGACCGCCCAGGCCACGATGCCAGCTGTGAAAAGAGAACTCCCAATGATGATCAATCTCAGAGGCGCCCAGTTTTGAACAGCCAGCAAGCTGTCACTGCCACGATCAAGACCAGAGTCGTCACGCAAACGGAGGCTAATTTCCTGGCACTCATTGGGCTTGAGCAAGTCAAACTGGAGGGCCACACCGGCAATATAAGGCATGGATTCAAACGGAACATTCCGTGAGACTAATAGTCCCTTCGCAGGTATCATAGGATAACTCCAGCTGGAGGGTCGAATTGGAACCCAAGGCGCTGGCATCAGCCTTGGAAGGCAAACCGTTCGAGAAGCATTCAGGGGCTCGGCAACTTTGGAGATGAATTTTGCTGCCAAAATCACCGCGATAGAAGTAAAGATAGGTAGCCAGTGACGGGAAGGGTCTCAGAGATCCATGATCATGTTGATATGACTCCAGTTGGGTATTTCCACGATGATCGGATCAAGCTGCAGAGTTCTTGGTAGCCCATAAAAATCGGCTGATGTAGGGAAGGAAGTGACACTTTCTTAAGATCAGGGCTGGTGTCTACTATATGAGAAAGGACTGGTCAGCTGGTTGCCACATAAGCTTCCTGCCAAATAGTCGTATGTGATAATGTGCTGTGTCGGGGCTTAGAATTTGCGGTGGCGTGTTTCAGCAACCAACGAGAGCAACGGATGAGGGGAACACAAACCTGGAGACCATCCACTAGCAAATTATACATCTGATAGCTCAGAGTGAAGACGTCTTCATTCGTATATCGGCCTGCCAAGGGGTCAAGGCGCCTGAACGCCAGAGTTATCAAAAATCGGCCTTGCCAGAGATACCGTACAGCTCCCGTTTATTACACATCATCAGGAAAAAGCATTCATCTTGGCAGGTGCCAAATCATGAGATTAGCAATGGTGGCGCTGAAATGTATGGTCCGAGAATCGTATGAGGGAAAATACAGCCCCAAAAGCATGACCGATGTAAATGAGTAACCGAGAGTAAAAAGGGAAAGATGACGCAGAATTAAAAACACATAAGCGCCACAAGCACTATTCACACGGGAATCGGCGCGTAGTAACCAAACCTACCCTGCGGATCATACTTCGCCTTCAATTCCTTCAGTCTCTTCAGTCTCCATGGCTCAAATCCATACAGGTTTTCAAGGGACTCCGTCCCAGATGCATAGTTCACGTAAGCATGCAGTTCAGGTGAACCGCTGCCTTTGAGAAGTTCCTGTCTCAGTTTGTTGCCAATCTGAACGGCTTGAGCATCCAGCTCGGGGCTTGGTTTATTCACCATAGCAACAGTGACGAGCTGATTATCTCCCCGATGCGGAAATGCGGCAGCATCGTCTGGGCCAGCTCTGACGCCATACATGGAGTACCCCTCGAACAAAACCTGGGACACATTGAACGGTGAGTCTGGTCCAATGGTTTGGGTGAATGTGTCCATAAGAGCGCGCTGTGCGGTGGCGTTGTAGGACACGAGCCCAATCGGGAAGCGGATTTTGGAGGTATCTGCGACATTGCAGGCGATTGAATTGACGTTTACGCCAGCCCATGTTGGGATATCCTTGTAAGTTCCTGAACCAGACCTTACTGACATAGGACCGAGCTTTCGAAACGGGCTAGTAAACTTTGTGGCGACGGCAGAGACACTCTCCTGAAGGAGATCGACCTGCAGAATTGGCTGCAAACGTTGGTTAGTGACAGAACGAACCCAATCCAGAGGAGACGGTGATACATACATTCGTCGGGTCTACACTTGGATTGCGATAGATAACATCCCGATTGAACATGCCAGGAGGTTGTTGCTGAGCAAGCCAATTGATGGTCTCAAAGACAGCTTCGACTTTGTCGTGACTGAAAACATAACTCTCATAGGACCACAGGCCACCGTCAGGAACATCGTAGACCTTCAAAGTTATAAACGTCACGATTCCAAAATTATGCCCGGCACCTTGCATAGCCCACCACAAATCAGAGTTCGGACCCGTAGGAGACACCTCGCGGATGGCTCCGTCAGCAGTCACCATGCGCATCGAAACAAATTGGTCTGAGACGATGCCATATTTTCCCTGCAGGATACCATGGCCTCCTCCTAGAGCAGGACCCAGAAAGCCCGTGCACTCGCAGATTCCCGACACTAGTTTAAGCCGGTCAACCGTGTATACGAAATGTTTCCACAGCAAAAACGTACCCGTCTGTTTGCCGGCCGCCCACAGTGCCTCTATAACCTCACCAGATCTTTTGCCACCACCGAGAGTGACTGTTTTGCCATCCTCTGATATAACAGTTGAGTTGAGGTTGCGCATCCTGATCTCGATGCCGTTGAATTTCCCAAGGCTGGTTATGGTACCGTGGGTGCCGGTCACCGCCAGAAAGGGGATGTTGTTCTGGTTAGCGAATTTAACCTACATTGTCGTTAGCCAGGAGATTGCATAGACTTTCAAGGATTCAAAAGTTTAAACTTACTGTTGTTGCAACATCCTCCTCTGTTCCCACCTCGACGACAGCCGTAAAATGAGGAGGATCAAAAAGAGACCATCTCTGGGTTGCCTGCACAAAACCCGCATTATTTGGCAGAATAATTTGCGCTCCCACGGAAAGCTGTGGTCCTAGTAAAGTGGTGATATCCTCCCGACGGAAAGCAATGGCATCCGTGAGCCTCTCTGTGAGGAGGACAGCAAAGAGGACACTTATGATCCAGACTTTCCATCCAGCCATGGCTCCCACACAACACTGGTGATGCCCAAAGAAGGAGATCAAGAAATCCTAGTTGCACAGCAATCAGGCCATATATGATCCGCAGATTTTGGTGTGGCCTGGAACATCAGGCTCCTGCATTCATCATATGGTACCTTTGTAGTACAAGTGCACTGCGCCCCGTTTGTTGCAATATGGGCGAGAAGAGCACGCTATAGATAGGTGCATCGGAGCAACTAGGTGACGATCAGAAGCCAAGTCTCGTGTGTTTGCCAAACAAAGACTATGCACCAGTCCACATGTTTCAGCTCGAACTGGAACCCGTCGCATATTCCTAACCCGGACCTCATTGCATTATGGTCCAGTTGATATGAGTATCCATGATAAGCAAGAGCAACTGTGGCCATTTGATTTCACAGCTCAGGGTCAACCTGAGTGATCAAGTTGCGTGGCTCAACCTCAACCATCTCTGCTGCACACGTCAGCCAGGCTGACCAGCGATTGAATCTGAGGCATAGGCATTGCTCACTCAGAAGCAGCCACCAAATAAGCAGTACCTCTGGAATGTTACACGCATTCTCAAAGACAAAGGATGGAAGTGTAGTTTTGAACCCCACTGCTTGAGTGCTGCAGCAGACTGGGCACCAACTGAGGCTGTTGCCTGTTTTGTGATACGTGCTTGTACACCGACTCCATCCGATCTACCAAACGCTTTGTACCCCCAAAAGCGGGATAAGCAGATCCGAGATCTGACCTCGGAAAAGTCAAAGAAACGTTTGACAAGTGAAAGAAAGCGAGAACTTGCCACTAAACCCAAACCAGCAACGCACCCCCTTCGACACCTGAACCCCAGGGTGTCGACTGCCGACCGTGACGATCCCTACCCGAAAAGGAAACATACCGCCCGCAATCGAACCTCGGCAATTCCCTATCCGAGGAATCTCCTCTCCTCCCTATACCATCTCAATCCCCTCAATAACAACCCCATCCATATCACCAATCCTCACTAAACTCTCCCTAGCATCCGCCATGGCCCCCACCGAAATCACCTTGAAAAAGCGCCGCACACGAAATGACTACATCTTCCACCAAGTCCACCGAACAAGATGGTTCGTCGTCCCCTCTCCTTACCTCCCCATCCCCATCCCCATCCCCATCCCCAAATCTAACCCCTCAACCCCAGGTTCGACAACGACATGTACGCCCACCTCAACAACACCGTCTACGCAATGCTCTTTGATAGCATCATCAACACCTACCTAATCACCCACTGCGGAATGGACCCCTTCAGCATCAACAACAAAGACCCCGCATCCACATCCGCATCCACATCCCCAACCAAACCCTCCCAAGTCGGGATAATAGTCTCCTCATACTGCGATTACTTTGCCTCGGTATCCTTCCCGGATGTATTGGACCTCGGGCTCCGAGTCACGAAACTAGGGTCGTCGAGCGTGACCTACGAAGTGGGGGTGTTTAAGCAAGGGGAGGAAGATGTGAAGGTGGTGGGTGGGTACACGCATGTGTTTGTGGCGCGGGAGACGATGAGGCCGACCAAGGAGGGGATGGAGGATGGGTTGAGGAGGAGTCTGGAAAAGTTGGTGGTTGGTGGTGGTGATAAGGCGAAGTTGTAGTAGGTCGGCGCTTCCAGCTGTCTATCTACTATCTACTATTGCTTTCTGGTGTGGTTGACGATACTGATGATATTTATTGGAGATGCCTGTTCCTGGTGAACGGGGGATATAGATATGTAGACTTTTGTTTTACTCTTTCTAGCATGAACCTGAATGATATATGACGAGGTGCCCTGGTGGCATTTGGCATGTGGCGGCAGAGGTACGCATAGTTGATCAAGGTTACTCATAGTAAAGAGCTATTCATAGCCTTATCTATTATAACTGATGAACCCCGAAACATTCCGATCCCACAGGGTTTGTCATAGGACCAGTCCTGCAGTATCAAACAGATGCTCCCGATATGATACGTCTCATGCAGCTGTCATGTCGATCCCTTCCCCCATTGCTTTATCCGGACTTGCATGCACTAAACTTTCCCACAATGTCTACCGAGCACCATCTCTCAATTTTGAGCTTCGAATGATCAATGACAAATATCGACGCTCATACTAAGGTAATAATAGACAATCCTTCCATTCCATGGTATTGTTCGCCGAAAAAGCAACCACCCGAAAGGTGAAAAGTACAAAATATATGGGAAGTATAACGGACAGGAATAACAAAACAAATATCGCTAAAACCTGATAAAAGCGCTCTATCGCAAACTCTATCCGGTTTTCTATGACCTTGACCCAAACGCCATCGTCGCTGTGTAAACAAGGTCACTGCAGAAAAGCAGATTCATCCCAGCATTACAGGCTCATATGCTAATGTCATCATGAAAGCGCAAAAGAAAAGAAATGAAACGAAATAGAGCCACAAGTACACCACGCTTGAACGCAGCCCACATAGCAATCGAACAATAACAGTCGTGTTCACTCGTGGACGGCCAACGCATGTTCTGTAGAGGCCAGCTACAGAATAGCATCGTGAAGTCGAAATGTCGACAGCAAAAAGAAGTTTCCGGTTCATGCCAGGATCAAGTCGATTTGTTCGGGAGAACGCTGGCCCGGGAGACATTGGAGCTCTCGGGGAACAGCACCCGGCGCATGGTGCCCACTTCCGCATCGTAGTGCCACTTCTGGTAGGGACCGGCAATGAATTTGCCCTTGGCATCCCATCCGGCAACCCAGGTAAATCCGTCGTCAAGGAGAAAGAACAGGAACTTTTCTGGCTTGGCCCCCTCGCTGGTTTCCACCGAGTGCCAGCGACAACGATCTTCCATTTCGTGTTCAAAGACGTACCGGTGGAGGATGCGGCAATAGACAAGCGGAACAGGCACCTTTTCGTCGGCATCATTGCCGTCCTTGTAGACGAGATGCCATCCTCGACCCGGGATGTACTTGTAGATGCCAGGAACTGGACTGTCCCAGTGTTCCTCTTTGTGGATAGATCCTTGGATGCGCTCCCCACGCTGGAACCAGTACGTGGGGCAGAACACCTTTCGCAGACAGAGAAAGAGGTTGGGAGCCATGGTAATGAAGAGTGATGAAAGACTTTTGGACGACACAATGTCGTGAGAGGTTGAAAACTTCTGAGATGAAGAACGGAGATCAAGAACGCTCGCTTGCTGATGGAGAAGATATCAAGAAAAAAGAGGAGTTGCGAGTAGCAACGGCTGGTTATAAGTCGACGTGCATATTGAACAAACAAGCAATAGAACCTGAGAGTAAAAGAGGAAGGAGAGGAAGATGTCAGGCAACAATCAATAATCGCCGATTGTGCCCCCAAGTGCCTCAAAAGAGGAATAGGATTCGTCGAGACTGCCTCCGATGGGACTGCGTGGTGGTCAGGGGGAAGGCAAGAGCGAGATGCACGACACGCTGTAACGATGCGGTGTGTGCCAGTGTATATGTAGACGTGCCTGGCGACAGTCTAGGCCCCAGGAGGAGGACAAGGTGGTTTTGTTTTTCTTTCTTTCGCGAAGCCGGAAGGAAGCAAAAAATCTGGATTGAGACGGGCTTTAATGATTGGAGTTGGGACTGATCGACAGGTCGAGTAGACAAGGAAGCTGGAGAGAGGGGCCGGAAGACGCCTAAAGCACCAGGGGTAGGCGTAAACAGCTCTTTCTTCTAAGATTGGCTTCTTAGAACCGCATGGTGGCAGGCTGGCTTCTGACTGGACGGGAAGTAGGAGGTAGTCCTTTAGTATGCCAGTCACATCCGACGTATCTGGGAAAGAAAAAAAAGGAAAACGGCGGCCACAGGATTGGATTAAAAAGAGGCAGGAATAAAGGTGGTGCGCGCTTCTGGGGCGGTCTGAGGTCAGACCGTCAACCCCAAAAGGGACAGGACACGAAGGAAAAGTGGGTGGGTGGAAAAGGTGGAAATGGTGGAAAAGTGGAAAATGCAAAAATTTTCTTTGATGTCACGGGCTAGACCACAGAGAGAAGGCGCCCGTCATCCCAAACGGTAGCGTGGGCAACTGGACCTTTCCGGGGCCTCTGGTTCGAGCATCGGCGGTTCCAATGCTAATCAGGCCCTGCAACAGGAAACCTTGACGCGGGAAACCCGAGCCCCACGGGATCCACCCCTCGGGCGATATTTTAGCTTTCTTCCTGCTGCCTGTCGCCGTTCTCCGTCGCGCTTTTGATATCCCGATCCACAGCTGGGTGTGGCAGTGGCAGTGGGAGTGAGAGTGGGATGATGTATGATGTATGATGTTATGATGTATCGTCCTTGCTCCTTGTAGATAGGTGTCAAACCCGACGGAGCTGAAGGTGTCTCATGTCTCTCCATCACATCATCTTGTCGATCCGCTTTCCTAAATTACCTCTGCCTCCGGTGGCTGTGCTGATGGCGCACACTACTCCCGATGGTGACTCAGTTCCTTGCTTGGTGGTTCTCATCACCACCACCCCCCTAGCCATATCACCTGAAGAACGTTGTAAAAAGCGCTCCATCTCTGGCGTTCGAGACCACTATCACAAAGTAGCCTGATCTTGGCTCTCATTCTTGGACTGAGTCTCGATCCTCTCCTAGTTGGATTTGACTTTCTATCCCTTTCCCTGATGCTGCTGCTGTTGTGTTGGTGTTGTTGTTACACACCATGTGGCTATCATGCATCGCTAAAATAGCTGGCTGTGATCTGACGATCACGATATCACTAGTCCGAGTCTCCTATCAGATTCTCAGCAGATACGCACACAGTTGTTGCAGGAAGATATGGTCATCACATTAGCCAGCTTGGCGGAACCAAGGCGCATTCTTGGACTCGAATCACAGAGGCCAGGTTTATCACGGCCTTGCCGTGTTGTTCATGCAGACAGACGGCCATTCCACAGCTCCTTGTTCTGCAGTTAACCACTGGACCAGGATCAGGGCATCTAGGTTTGCTCAGGCCCCGGTGCTATCAACCCGCGTTATGGCGGTGTCATGACCGACAGGTCTAGAGTGGGAGGGGGTTAGTGGGTGGGTGGATGAGTGGTTGGAAAGAGAGTGAGTCAACAGAGGCTCGTGAACGGAGGTCGCACAGATCAATGGTCTTCCGCTCTTTCCCATGCACGAAAAGAAGACGGAGAGGCCCAAGGAGGGGCAGGCAATCCCGTGATTGACGGGTGGACGGATCGTCTTGCTCTTGGCCTTCACATTCCTCTTGAGCTTACTCCATACTCCAGACAGCCAATTCCCCACTCACATACTTTTGGAGATGTTATCGCGCTATCTCGGGCATATCTCCCACGATAGGCTTCTACTAACTGTTTAGTCAATAACGCCATACAGACCTAGTATAAGACCGGTGGTCTATCGTCCGAAACAGGTACTAGGCATCTACACTGACCCATCTCTAAATAACGAGATCATCTAGTAACACTCTAACGGGTTGTGCACACAGGCCAACTTATGCAAGCAGTGGGTGTGATATTGGATGTGGGAGTTACTTCAAATTCCATCCCTCAATTAATGATTGTGCCTGGGCTCCGGGAATCGCTGCGCCAGCCGTTGGTATTTGACAGCGTCGCGGAGGACCATTCCTTCGTTCAACTGGGTGGTCTCCTTCCGGAATAACTCCTGCCATGGGGTTTGGCTTTCCGGCATATCGTAACCCCCGCTTGCTTCTAGCTTGTCCTTTCGCGCCTTTAATTCGTCTGCGGGGACAAGGATATCTACACGTCGCTGATTGAGATCCACCCGGAGCCGGTCTCCATCCCGAAGAAGAGCCAGGTTGCCACCCGCTGCTGCTTCAGGACTGGCGTTCAGGATGGATGAGGATCCTGAAGTTCCCGACTGCCGTCCATCGCCGATGCATGGCAGTGACTTGACCCCCTCTCGCAGGAGCCTTCCCGGAGGGTGCATATTGACCACCTCAGCTGCGCCAGGATACCCTAGTGGGCCAGCCCCGCGCATCACCAGAATACTTCGGCCATCAATGGGCGTGGAGGGGTCTTCTAACCGGTGGTGGTAATCTTCCGGTCCATCAAAAACTACCACATTTCCCTCAAATGCATTTGGATCGGCGGGATTCTCGAGGAATTTCTGCCTAAACTCCTCGGAAATGACGCATGTTTTCATGATGGCGGACTCGAACAGACTACCTTGCAGGTGAAGGAAGCCAGCATCTTTGAGAATCGGGTCGTCATATGCTCTGATCGTCCGGCGATCCCAGGTATGACCCCCACGGACGTTTTCTGCTACAGTATGGCCATTGCACGTCACAGCATCTGCATTCAACTTGCCTGCGTCCAGCAGCTCCGCCATGATAGCCGGCAGCCCTCCTGCTCGGTAATACTCTTCACCTAGCAGCTCCCCCGCAGGTTGCATGTTCAGCAAGAGAGGAATGTGAAACCCGAGACGGTCCCAATCATCCAGCGAAAGGTCCACACCGATATGCTTTGCGATCGCGTTTATATGAATGGGGGCATTGGTACTCCCCCCAATTGCCGTGTTGACAACAATGACATTCTCAAATGCCTCCCGGGTCATGATATCGCTTGGCTTGCGATCAGAATGTACCATCTCGACAATCCGCAACCCGGTTTCATAAGCGCATTGGCCTCGTTCTCGGTACGGGGCAGGAATGGCAGCTGACCCAGGTAGCGCCATTCCAAGGGCTTCTGCAAGCGCATTCATAGTGGATGCCGTACCCATCGTGTTGCAATGGCCTACTGACGGTGCACTATCGCAGAGCGTTAGTCCGAGCAGACGTACGTTTTAAAGTTCTTGACGTACCCGCGGGAAATGTAGTCAACGAATTCCTCCGTGTTAATCTCTCCTGCAGCGTGCATCTCTCTACCTTTCCAGACCACCATTCCCGAACCAGCCAGCTCACCTTTCACATAGCCGTTGAGCATTGGACCAACATTGAGACATATAGCAGGGATGTTCTGGAATCGAAGTCAGTCAAGCAGTGGTGGAAGAGCCAGGCGCAATCCTCGAACGTACGACAGTGGCAGCAGCCATCAAGCATGCCGGGGTGGTCTTGTCGCATCCGGTAAGAAGGACGACGCCATCCAAGAAATACCCATGAAGGATTTCAACGAGGCTGAGATAGGACAGGTTTCGATCGATGCAGGCGGTGGGTCGCCGACTGGTCTCCTGAATAGGGTGTGTCGGGAATTCGAAGGCGATTCCTCCAGCAGATCTGATACCTTCTCGAACCCTTTTTGCAAGCTCCAAGTGATGGCGATTGCACGGAGCTAGATCGGATCCGGTCTGAGCTATCCCGATGATAGGCTTGCCGGACATGAGTTCCTCCCTCGTCACGCCATAATTCAGGTAACGTTCAATGTATAGGGCCATCATTCCCGGATCATCTTCACATTGGAACCACTTCGTGGACCGCAGCTTACGTCCGGCTTTCGATGTGTTGCCCGACGATGTTATTTTCATCGACACCAACGCTTTTTCGAGCTCCACGGTTCTTTTGCGAAGAGCGAGCAGCTCTGCTTCGCAGTCCTCAATATTGACAACCCCCTGGCTGCCATTCGGGCTGCAGGAGCAGCCCTCGCACGAAGCTTGCGACTGGCACGGCATGATGTATAGTAGATTGTTTATCGAGAGAACGCATGCACTGAAACACTGCCAAGACAAATCGATATGGCAAGAGAAAATGGAGTCAGAAGGTATGCGTCGTCGGTATAAGATCCTTGAGACGCTGGGTTGAACCCGGGATTGGGCCGATGCCGACTCAATCGGCGGAGAGTCTCCGAGTCGGATTAGCCGCGGCCGAAAGGGACCTAAAAAGGGGTGGGAAAAGAAGCAAATAGAAAAGAAATGGGATTCGGATGCCCAACCACGGTGGGCGAGCAGACCATTAAATAGCAGCGAAGAGAGACACTTGAGGCGTGGATGGGAAACCAGTGTTCGGGATTGAGCCTTGGATCGCGTGGCTCTCGGCTCGGGTTGGCTGGCTCAGGCCATGGAGATGGAGCCCTTGGGAGGTGTACCCCACGCTATATCCATGGGGGCACCACAGGGGGCCTGGAGAAGGGCATGGGGGTTCCTTCCCTTTCACCCCCTCCGTCCCACCGGAACCGATTCTTGGAATCCCGTCATATCCGCGAGCGATCTGTGCCATTCAGATGATCGCATGTGGCATTCCGATCGGGACGATCGGGCCATCCATTATCGAATCATCCCCGATTCCCCAGTATTCTTCTTCCTTCCCCACGGGACTCGGTTCGACTCCATACATGACTCATATGATTGCCGTCTACCTACACGAAGAACAGACTTGTTCGCACTTGACGATCATCATTTCCATAATAAATATATTCTCATCGATCCATTCATAACAGTTGACCCGAAACGCCCACGATGCGAGAGAGGAGCTGGTCCAGAAGCAGCCAACGAATCTATCATCATGAGGTGAACTAGCAAAAAGGTATAAAGAAGAGCTAAGAGGTACAAAGAAAGGATAAAAATGCGAGGAGACTATTGAGTCGCACACTGAGCAGTTGTCTCGCCCTCATCGTCGTCATCCTCCCATGCAGACCCCCCCTCAGGGTCATGGGCTCCGAAATCATCCAGATTGCCCTTGGGGTCGAACTCCACCTCGTCCACCGTGTCGGCCTGGATGGGGGCATCTGGCTTGGGCAGAATCTCCCTAAGTTGCTCCAGAACAGCGGCACTGGGCTTCCATTTGGCGTCGGGGAACTTGATGTTGACAACCAGGTACAGGTCACCACGGGCATCGCCGCGCTTGATCGGCATTCCTTCCCCAGGAACCTTCAGGACCTGGCCCGGAGACAAAACCTCACCGGGGGTCTTAGGGTGCTGGATTTCGATTCCCCGACCGTCAAGGTGCTTGACCACCACCCGAGAGAAGCCCGTCAGAGCCTCGGCCAGTGTAACGTCAATCGTAGCCGTCAGATCCGGACCAGCCCTTCTGAACGTCGAGTGCTCCTCTTCCACCAGATGAAAGACAATGTCTCCGGGTTCCTGACCGGGTACTTGATCGGCTTCGCCCTCGAGGATGATCTTGTCTCCTTCCCTGATCATGGAGTCAGTTATTTACCCCAAAGTTACTACCACATATGATTAAACTCACCTCGCCCCGCGGGGGATGTAAATTTCCAACATCTTCTTCGCCTCAGTGGTCTTCTGTCCCTTGCATTTCTTGCACTTATCCTTGTCCGTAAAGTAGTCGCCGGCTCCCTTACACGTGTGACAGGGCACCATGGTCGGAGACACGAAGTTTCCCATCGGTCTCAAAATCTGCTTGTAACCTGCAGAGCATACATGTTAGGTTGAATCACTGCACCAACTCCAATAGACTTACCTTCACCATCGCAAGTAGCGCATTTCCTCGCCGTTGCCCTCTCCTTTCCTCCTTTGCCATGGCACAGAGAGCAAATCACGTTCTTCGTGCTCGCAAACTTGACCGTCTTGCCCTTGTAAAGATCCTCGAGGCGAACTTCGTACTTTTGCTCCTCATTCGGGCTCTTGCGCGGCTTACGCCCATGCGGGCCGCCGGGCATGCCTCCCATACCACCCATGCCGCCCATTCCACCCATTCCACCAAACATCTGCGCAAGAATATCGTCCAAGTCGGGACCCGCGCCCATGCCAGGCTCGCCGGAGCCGTTGAAAGCTCCCATTCCATGGGTATCGTAGATCTCGCGCTTCTCTTCATCGTATAGAATGTCGTAGGCTTCTTGCACGGCTTTGAATCTGACCTCTGCCTCTTCTCTTTCGCCTTCGGGGACTTTATCGGGGTGGCTTGCTAGGGCGGCCTGGTTGGAAGAAAGAAAGATAAAGTCAGCTTCGGTCCGGCGTATATCCTTATTCGACATAACCGCACATACCTTGCGATAAGCCTTCCGGATTTCATCTTTGCTGGCACTGTTGGAGATGCCCAAAACCTCTGTATTCCATCAAAATTCGATTAGCTGCCCGTGTACGCATTTCGCTTCTTCCGCGAGTTTCGAAATATATACCGTAGAGGTCAACGTCAGCATTCGTCGACACTAATTCCCAGGCGTTAGCATACCAGCAAACAACTTTTTTTTTTTTTTGGTGATAGCGGAACACTTACTGATAGAAATTACGGGTGAGAAAACCCCGACAGTAGCTCTAGACAGAAACTGAAGTAACTGGGTATCAAAAGAAGATGTAAACAAGTAAAAAAAAAAAGACCAGTCACAAGTCTAAAAGCAGGGTGTCTGGCGAGGATGCGAGCGGATGAGATGAGCAATCGCGATAGAAGCAGCAAACGATAATCCTGACAATTTATTGCCGCCAGATCCAACCAATCACAGTCCCCACAATTGCCCGGCCGCCTTTTCTGTCGGATTTATCGCGGTCTCCACCGTCTTGTTTTCCCCGGCTTCGTCTCAGCTTTCCGTCACTCTTCGGTCGCTTTTTTTTTAAGCATTGTTAGCTCGGATCCAGCCCTCACCTACAACAATGAGGCGTCCAATGCCCTCCATCTTGGCCCGTCGGCCGTGGATCTGCACCCAATGTCGAGCCCGCTATTCCTCCGTTGCGCCGGCTTCGAATCTCCGCGCTGGCAATAAGAAGACCAATCTCCCTACTTCGCCTGCCAGAACTCGATTCGCGCCTTCTCCGACTGGGTATCTTCATCTGGGGTCTTTGCGGACAGCGCTGTTCAACTACCTTCTGGCGAAACGTACGGGGGGCCAGTTCCTGCTGCGCATTGAGGATACGGATCAGGTTCGGTGTCCAGTTGGTCTTGGTTTTGGGGGCGAACTAGGGCTAATGGGTGATGGCTGCAGAAACGTACGATTCCGGATGCTGAGCAGAGGCTTTATGATGATTTGCGGTGGGCTGGGTTGCACTGGGATGAAGGTCTGCGATCCGCGTGGAAGAATGCCAGATCAAGTCGCATTTGCTGACGGGGACAATTGATACTACAGGCCCGATTGTCGGAGGTCCGTATGGTCCTTACAGACAGGTATGGTCATCCAAAGGAGAGAATGCTCTGATATATAGGCATTTACTGATGAAGCTTCTTTTAGTCCGAACGCACCGCAATCTACCGCACACACGCGCACGAGCTGATCCAGAACGGCCACGCCTACCGCTGCTTCTGCTCCGCCGACCGACTGGACGCTTTCGCCAGACATCGCAGCCAAGCTGGATTGCCGGCCGGTTACGATAGAAAATGCGGCGAGGTTTCCGCGGAAGAGTCCGAAGAGAGGGCGGCCAATGGCGAAGCTCATGTTGTCCGGTTGAAGGTGGAGGGATACCCGATGTTCAATGACCTAGTGTACGGCAAGACGGGCCAGAACCGCTCGCCAAACAAGTTGGATCTTATCGAGCGGGTGTACGATGATCCTATCCTGATCAAGTCCGACGGACACCCGACCTACCATCTGGCGAACGTGGTGGATGATCATTGCATGAAGATCACCCATGTCATTCGAGGAACGGTAAGCGATACAAGGAGAATCAGGAATGCAGTGGCAATCTCACACATTTCCTAGGAATGGATGCCCTCGACCCCGCTGCACGTCGCTCTCTACAATGCCTTCAAGTGGACGCCGCCCCAATTCGGCCATGTACCTCTACTCGTGGACCAGACGGGACAGAAGCTCAGCAAGCGCAATGCGGATATCGACCTCACCTTCTTCAAAGACACCCAGGGCGTCTTTGCGGCGACTCTCGTGAACTTTGCTGCCCTTCTGGGCTGGTCACACACCCAAAAGTCGGACATCTTCAATCTGGAAGAGCTGGAGCAACTCGTACGCTCTCCAATTCATCCCCTCAAATTACACCCCCTCACTAACCGCAACCCAGTTCAACCTCAAAATCACGCGCGGAAACACAGTCGTCGCCTTCGAGAAGCTCTGGTTCCTCCAGAAGGCGCACGCCCAACGCTTCGCCGCCACCGAGGGCCCCGAGTTTTCTGAAATGGTGACCAAAGTCTCCCAAGTGGTCGAGAACACCTACTCAGCCGAGCAACTGTACGTCTCCATCCCCTACCCCAACCCCATTCATCCAAACTAACCTCCCCAGCGCACCCATCCTCCAACCTCGCCCTCTAACCAACTACATCCCCCCACTCCTCCGCGCAGACGCCAAATCTTACACCAACGCGTCCGACTTCGTCACCCGCAACTCCACCTTCTTCACCACAACCCTAACCCGACCCCCCTACACCCCAGCCTCCCCCACCAACACCATCCCAATGACATCCCTCCACACCGCATGCGCAGCCCTCACCCTCGTCCCTCCTTCCCACTGGACCCTCGAAACCCACCGCGCCAACATCACCGCCTACGACGGCACCACCACCCCCACCACTCCAGCAGAATCAACTACCCCCGAGGAGGCCGAAAAGGCTCGCAAAACAGCCGACAAAGCCTTCAAAAAGGAACTCTACCACTACCTTCGTTGGGCCTTGTCCGCCGGTGCCCCGGGCCCGGGTATCCCCGAGACAATGCACATCCTCGGCTACGACGAGACGATGCGTCGACTACAGGAGGCAAAGAAATCGACGATGAATTTGGTGCCCGCGCCGACGAGGAGAGCCAAGCAGGGTCCTGAGTCGTTGGGGACTGATCGGTCCTGGATGGGTTCGCTGGCGCCTTCGTCTTAGTCTTCATCTAAGCTCAGACAGATGGAGATGGAGTGTTGTATATGCTCCGCTATGCGATGCAGTGAGTGTATGGTTATCTATCTATCTACTTAGTTGGAGGATAGCTAGTTGGCTATATGTGGAGATAGATAGTGTACAAGTAAGTATGAGTGTACAACAAATGTAAAATAGAACCACTCCCGCCCTACTACCTTAATTCCACTTTCCACTCTCATACTAAACCAAAACCTACTACTACGGATAAACAAACGCCACTCCATAAAGGTTAAACACTAAATCCATTTCTAGGATGTAATAAATAAAGCGACGAGGCTAAAGTAAGACGAACGGCAGACGATGCACTGATATCACAACACAAATGGAAGATGAAAAGATGAAAGATGAAAATGAAACATGCCGGGGACTTGTAAACTTGTACACGGGTCCATAAAAAAAGATAAAAGCAGTCAGAGAGCCACACCAAGAGATAAGAGGAATATGCAGAAGCATGTGCTTGGGGGAATTGTTCCAAAAGGAAAGAGGAAGAAGAATGAGAAACAGGATTGATTCTCAACACCAACCGCCCCATCTATCCCAGTCCGGGTAGAGTAAATTATTCAACATAGAGCAAAAACATAATACAAGAAGGAGTCTGGTTCTCCGCAGTTCTTTTCTCTTGACAACAGGTAGCGACATCTGACATAATGTCGTTGATTGTTGTCGTCCTGAACGTCACGCAGTGAGCGGCAGGGAGCAAGGGAGTAAATGCGCTGGAAAATCCAAGATTCGACATCAAAAAGAGCCAGAACATAACGCGAGTGGTATAATCCCGAATTTTAACAAAGAAATTAAGATGGTTAGCTGAGCACAATCGCTCGAGTCGTTGCCGCGAAGAGTTCAACTATTAGTGGCATGGTTTGTTTCAAAGACATGATGACAGAAATCAAGGGCTTCAGGATCGTGAAATCGTCAACGTTGAGTCGTCTCATAGTCACGTTCTTCAGGAGACACCTGAAAGTCTCAAGCAGGTAGAATCATTACGTCAACGAAGGGCTATGAGTCGAAGGCCTCAATATGGCTCCAGCTCGTCGGCCCATTCATCACTACCGCCTGCGCGAACCATGTGCCCCATCGGGTGGGCCGCTGGCTCATCCGGACTTACGCTTCGGATGCCTTTGGCCTTTTTGCCTGCGAGGGTGCGATTTTGGCTTTCCTCAGGGGGAGCCAATCGTTTCCCGTGAGCAGCACGAAGTTTAGCGTAATAAACATCGCTGGCGTCGACTTCAGAGTCCGATCCATCGTCAAAAGTCTCCCAGTTTTCAGACCCCGAGACTGCAGTCTGGATCGTGGAGGAGTTTGATACTTGTCTCGGCGCTGGCGGAGGCGCGCGTTGCAAATATGGATTTGGCTTCGGATATCCTTGCATCGAAGAGTTCAAGGATAGCGAAGACGCTGATGATTGTGATGATTGAGAGAATCCAGTGGATCGTTGAGAGAAGGCGGAAGAGCTAACGAAGGAACGCTGGTTGCGATCGTCGTATACGTCCTCTGGGCTGACGGGTCGAACGAATGCATTGGACAAGGCGCTGGCAGACCGTGGCGGCTCAAAGAGGTAGGCTGCGCGATCTTCCCTCGATTCACCACCGGTCAGGGCCCTCATCCTCGGCGGTGGTGCACGAGGTGCCGGCATCTTACCGTTCACTGTGCTGGACGAATAGGTGCCTGGACCTCCCCGGCGTGGGGAATTGCTTCCGTGCGGCATATTGCTCAAAGGAACACGGGCCGGGATTTTCGAGGGCGATTTGGCCCCAGCCCTAGTAGAGGCCCCAATGGTGTTGTATTTGGTGGTCGGATGCGCTGTGGGCGTCTTCGAGGCCGAGCGAGGCGGAGGCGGCCCTCGCATAACGCTGCCAGGACGAGAGCTCATCACACTAGCAGGGCGAGGGGGCTGCGCTTGTACCGGACGCTTTGTAGTGGGAGTGGGCCCCGGAGTCTTCGACCTTGGAGGAGGCTTTGGAACCACTGGGGTAAGCTCGTCGAGATAGCGTTCCCCATGGACGAGGAATGGCCGGCCATACTCATCCTCCCACCTCTCCAACTCTTTGCGCAGGTCACTCTCCACCTTGGGCAGCTCCTTGGAGATCCTCTTTCTCATCTTCTCTTCCCTCAGAAGCTTTCCGGGGTCACGTCTCTCTCCTTTAACTCCACGGCCCATCAGACGGGACGCGTCCTGACTCGAGACTGCCAGAGCTTCGCGTTCCGCCAGAAGATTCTTATGCTTCTCGATGAGCTGCAACGTCGATGCGCGTTGTTCCTTCAAGGCCTCTAGCCGTGTGATCTCCGCTTCATGTGCCTCTAGCAAGGCGTCGCTGCATACATCAGAGAAGGCGGGCGTAAAGTCGAGCATCTCCTCTTCCGAGAAATAAAGGCTGTCCCAAAGTTCTTGGAGCCGGCATCGGGCATCTTCCACGAACAGATGCAGATTCTGTCTCTTTAGCTCATTGAGGCGCTCCAATTCCTCCTCAAATTCATTAATGGTCCGGAGCCCACAGCCACGGTTCGCCGCCAGGAACGCCTTTCTATCGCAGTCTTCGACTCCAAAGCGTTCCCACAGCGCTTCAACGGCATTCTTGAGATCCTTCAATTTGCGCTCACGACCGCCCTTCTCTTGCAGAAGCTTTTCGCGCTTCGCCATCAAGCCGGCTAGATCCGATTCGTGGAGACCCAACTGCTCTGGCGACTCGCGGTAGAACTTGACAATGTTGGAATCGGTCTGGACCTGGGGAGTTCCGAGCTCGGCCCACAGCTTGATGATCTCCTCGCAGGTGGTCTGAACAAATTCCAAGCGTCGGTGGTATTCTTCGTAGACGCGGGTGAATTCGCTGTCGAGCGCAGTAACGTAGGATGGAGAGAGGTCAAAGCTGGGTGGGATAGTGGAACCGGGAGCAGTTGGAGGAAGGTCAATGGCGACAATAGTTGTTTCAAGATGTGACGAATAGGATTCGAGCGCTTCAACAAGTTCTACCGTATGTCAGTGACAGAGCACCTTCTGGCGCTCGGAAAAGGGACTTACTCCTGACTTGCTCAAAACGCTCCTTGTGCAGTTTGTTCAATGCGCCGTGTTCCTCTCGGAGGAAGCTGAGGCAGCGATTCAGGGGATAGCTGACGCGCAAAGCATTATGGTCAAGCTGATACTGTCCGTTCGCCTTTTCGTCAACCAGAGACTTCTCCATATGCTGGATCGCGGTGATGAGACGCTGCGCCTCATCTTCCATGTCTTTCTTCTCACTGTAAAAGATCAGTTTTTGTATCGGAGTAATTCCGGTTCTCCAGAAGCGCGTACTTATTGACAAGCTTGAGGTGGTTGTTCAGCGTTTCCGACAAAGCGCTGAAGAGCTGTTACAATGTTAGTCGCAAGATGCGCTACAAACATCAGACACAACCGACCTCTGCCTCTCTCGAGTCGCGCTCATGATTTGGGACACCGATATCATCATATATTCCGTGCAGCTGAGAAACGATATTGTTGACCTGGGTGGTCAGATAGCTTGTGTCGACCGCCATGGTGCCGTAAATCCCAACGCCCGAACCAGGGGGGTTGGTTGTTGACTAGCTGATTGGCTTAGGTTGGTTTGTTTGAGTGCGCGACCGGAAACAAAATCGCCTTTAAAGGGCGGGGGCCAGCGTCATGTAAGCTCGGGGGCGGCGATGCGCCTGGAAGTGGACGACTGCAAGAAATCAAAACAGGCAGGATCGAGACGGCGGTTGACAGCGAGCGCCTCACGGGAGGTCGAATGGCATCTGCGAGAACAAGGGACGACCCGCCAGATTCATGAACTGGTCAACCGGATGCACGAGTATGCAAGGGTGACGGGGGGTGGAGGTGATCGAGGCAGGCAGCGGTGGAGGAGAAGGACAATAACAATCTCAATCTCGGCCTTCTTGGGGGTTTCTGTTCTGCAGCCGCAATCCCGATCCGCTCGCCGCCCAGTTGCTGCTTTGGGCATGTCACCCCGTCGTCCCAGCAACCGCTGACTCAGCCACCCACCGCCCTGTTCTGCCACCCTACTGTCACCGCCCCAGCGGGTCCAGCCACAGCTGTCCTGCCATACTAACTACTACTATTACTCTCTCCGACTTCAACAATCCAGATCACCCCTCCACGTCATCCCATTCAATAGCGCCTCTTCTTCCCTCGCAGTGGATCCCTTCCGTGACACCTTCTCTAACAGCCCCATCCTCAACCCGACCACACTCACCTCCATCCATCACCATGCAGGCTGCACAGCAGTCCTGGGGTCCGTACTCACCAGCCCCGATCAACCCCGCGGTACCAAACTAACTTCCATTCCAGAGTTCGAAAATGCCATCAGCCTCATAGACCCGCAACGAGACACGCTCTACCAATACGATGAAGAAACGCACAAAGCCCTCTCCGCCGCCCGCCCCTGGGCCAAAGACCCGCACTACTTCAAATCGATCCGGATATCAGCCGTCGCACTCCTAAAGATGGTCATGCACGCACGCTCCGGCGGCTCCCTCGAAGTTATGGGCCTCATGCAAGGATACATTCTCCCGGAGACGTTTGTAGTGACCGACGCCTTCCGACTCCCCGTCGAGGGAACCGAAACGCGAGTCAACGCCCAAGACGAAGCCAACGAATACATGGTGTCATATCTGCAGTCGTGTCGGGATTCAGGGCGGATGGAAAACGCCGTCGGTTGGTATCACAGTCACCCGGGATACGGATGCTGGCTATCGGGAATCGATGTCACCACCCAGGATATGCAGCAGCTCGGCGGGCCGTTCGTTGCTGTGGTGGTGGATCCCGAGCGGACCATCTCGGCTGGAAAGGTGGATATCGGTGCCTTCAGGACGTTCCCAAAGGATTATACCCCGCCTAAGGGTCAGCAGGATGACGATGGGTATCAGACTGTGCCGTTGAGTAAGGCGGAGGATTTCGGCGCGCATGCTTCGCATTATTATTCCTTGGAGGTGTCGCTGTTCAAGAGTACCTTGGACTCGGAGATCTTGTCGCTTCTGTGGAATAAGTATTGGGTCGCTACGCTGAGTCAGAGTCCCCTGTTCACGACGCGGGATTATGGAAGCAAGCAGATGGTGGATTTGAGTCAGAAGGTTAAACGGGCCACGCGAGGGATTGAAAGCAATGCTTCTCGAGGTAATCTATCGCAGATCAAGGATCAACAGGTGGAACGGGTGGCGCGCGATGGCCAGCGGATTGTGTCGGAGGAGGTGAAAGGTCTGTTGGCGGCGGAGGTGAAAATGAAACTCTTCCAGGGCATTGGGGAGGGAGACAACACGGAGACATGAACCCGCTCGACGATGAGAACCCATGGCAGCCTAGAGCAGCTCTACGAATGATGAGATGACCCAATTGACGCACACCACCTCTCGCTGTGTAAATCGAGCACTAAAATCTAGACTTCCAACTACAACTGTCCCATCTGCAATCTTGTACATCCGATTACCATTCGTAGTATGTATATAGCAGGTGTATATATCCGGAGAAGAACAGGTCAGTACAAGGAACGAAAGGGGGTAATCATGAATTGCCCAAAGCCAAGGCCAGTCCGTCAGTAGCCTGCGTCATGATGTATCATTATCCGAACCGTAAACGAGCCTCTTTATGAGATCACAATCAACACCAGGTGAGAGACCACGAGAGCAAGGAGAATTTGTACAGAAAGAGAAAGGACCAAGCCATTGTACAGAGATGATATAGTCAACACAGTATGCAGGTATTCAGTAAAGCCGAAAATGCGCTGGACCGTCAAGGTGGACTGAAGACAAAGGAAATTGCAAAGTCGTATCGGAAGAGAAGTTGGTCGAGAGAAGAGGGACTGGAAGAGATAGTCTTCAGTTGCGAAAGGAGGGAATGGGACAAGGAACGACAGGGAAAGAAGAACCAGCACTGATAAGGGCTGCGCCGTCTTTCCTTACTCTAATGTACCATTGAGACACGGTTCGTTAGGATTAGAGGGAGGGATTGAAAAAAAAAAAAAAAAAAAAAGAACCAGCGGCCCAAGGAATGGATCGTCCACAAGTACTGTAGGTGACCAATGTGGCACAGTCGCTGGCGATGTTCCGAATGTCTTTCGAAGTCAGGATGACAGAAAGCCTTGCTCAAGCTTGGCGTACAGAAGTAGTCAAGTGAGGAGATAACGATCGTCCAGACGAAATCGAAAAACAGTATAAAAAAGGCCGCGTAAGACCCAGTTGAAGAGGTTGATTGGCCGTGTCGTAGAAGCGGCGCGCCTTGGTTTCGACCGGATCAGAGATAAGAGAGAGGAGCGCGTCAGGAAGAGCCTTCGGATCGGTATGTTCGTCGCTCGCAGGATCAGCCGCTCGAAATAAAGTTGGATGGCGCCAGTTGGAGTGAATTGAGATCGCACCATCCGACGTCGTCGTTGCATTTGATAGGCTGTCGTTCTCGTCTGGTCGAGTGAATGGCCGGTCGACAGGGGTGGCTGGGCAGCACGCGATAAGGAGCCCCGGCGGAGATGCGATGGGCAAGCCGGGCACTACAGGAAGCCCGATTCAGACAGCAGTCTACGTGGGAAGAAAAGCAGGTTAGTCTTCGATCAATCACTCAGAGGTCTTCCAGAGCTCAATATTTCTCGACAGATGGCCGCGCCTAGTGAGATCAACCACTGGACCGCGGGAACAGAGAAGGGACAGGGAAGGGGAAGGGGGAAAGAAGAAAGCAGAACAAGCGACTTGATCAGCGCGTCGACACCACTATGCTCGCGAGAGTCAAGGCGCTCATGTCTCTACCGTTTTTTGCATACCTCGCAATCTTTTCGTCTTCCCGCTCTCTCGGCTCGACTTCCAAACTCCGATCGTACATGTCGTGCACATCACCGGCATTCTGCAGATTACTAAGAATGTAATCCTGCAGTTCAGGAACCGGTTGCAGAAGATATGGGACGTTCTGATACTGCTGAATGTCGCGGATGACCTCGGCAGTTTTGGCGCGCTTGTTGAAATTGATCAACTCTGACGGAGTGAGAGATGGAATACCATCTTCGATGAACGTCAAATCCGTCAGATAGACACCTAACAGCCACGTTAGTATCATAAAACGGTCCCTATGAGGTTAGAAGCTCGAGCTAGACCGCATACCGAAAAAGGGGATACAAGGTGGATTGGCCAGATGCAGGGTCTCGCGATATTCGCCAAAGTTCTTCGTGCTCGCCATGAGCCGGCGCATTTGTTCCAGAACGGTGGATGTGCGTCCGCTAACCTGAGCCCATGTTCGTCCGAGTCGGTGAATCGGGGCCGTTCCAAGAGCCGAAATAATCGATGTCAGCGTAGAGTAATTGTTGAGAGCGCGGCATTTCTAGGAAGTGTCAGCAATCTCCCGTTCGACAAATATCAAAAGACGAGGCAGGTACATAGTACGTACATCTGCGACATTGACAAAGTGTTTGATGACGACGACGCGCTTTTTGACGTCTGATTGGTTGAGAATCATCTCCGCAACCCAGTTCGTCAACTGATTCGAATGGAGAATCAGAGCCTTCACATTCGTAGCAGGTTCCGGTTCGTCAGGCCCGACTTTCTTCTGCCAAGTCTTGTTCAAACACTCCGTGGGACGGATCTTCGAATAGAGGCGCGACTCGATGATGGTGAGCTGCCGAGCAAACTCCGTAGGGTCAATATCCAAGAACTTCAACTTCTTCATGTTCTTGGGGATGATCGGCGTCGGAGCTGCCGTTGCCTGTGTAGGAACAAGGCGCTTAACGGTGTTGTCTTGTCCCCTCAGCCGCTGCTCTATGACCGCCAACAGTTGCGGAGAACCAGGGGTCTTTGTAGTGGCGATCGAATCTTTGGTAAACGCATGCACGTGCTGAAGGAGCGCCATGTGGGGTTCGTCATTCGGCTCCATCCAGAAGTTCTCGAACCAACTCTTCAGGATATTGACCACACGGAACCGGATCGGCTTCTGTTTCCTGTCAACCCACATTTGCATTTCATCCGGGTTGAGGCCGAATGGGGGCTGAATGTTGAAGCGCTGGGTGAGCATCTCAAAGAGCTCCGACGCGGATGTAAACGAGCGGTAAGTAAGGAGGAAGGTGTTGTTAAAAGAAGCATCAAGCTTATCATGGCGTGTCAACTGTTCCACCAGCCCTGCCAAGGTTCCGCATTTCAAGGTCGGATTGTCATTCTTGGTATCGTAGAAGACTTCACCTTCGTGATCCGTCTTCAAAAACCACGGCGTCTCCTCTGGCTCACGGACTGGTTCTCGGAGCGGGGGTTCTCGGGGGATTGCAGCCGGAGGGGCTTGCCCGAAGAATCTTTGTGCCTTGTCCATATTTCGTCGCACCTTCTCGGACGTGCCTTCGACAGAGTAGGAGGACGGGATTCCAATAGACTCTGTAACGACTCCAGCTTGAGACTCGGACCGACTGTGGATTCCCTTGGGTCCTGGGTTCTCTCCGCCCAGGCGACTCTCCGCGCGGAAAACAGCAGTGGGTTCGGGTACTTGTTCGAGGAGCAGTGAAAGGGAGAATCCGATCTGTGAAACATAGTTCTCAAGCTGCCGGTGAACACCACGCACAGCATTCAAGCGATCATCCAGGGAATCACCGCGCAATTCAGCCCACTCATCGCCCAGTGGCGCCGAAACGGCTTGGCAGCTGAGAACGAAATCGGCAATGGCATCGTAGGTTCTCTGCTTCTGCAAGCTGAAATCGACCAACTGCGGATTCTGGAAGCTGGTTCCGAGGGGCGCCAAGTTGATGGATTCCACAGCTGAAATCCAGGGGCGAAACTGTTCAACAACCTTGATAGCAGCGGCGGAAACGGAATTGCCAATCTCTTCGTGCTCAGCGACCGTGACAATCTTCTTCTGGTTCAGTGTTAAGCGCTCTTCCAGCCGACGGATACTGCCGACAAAAGACCTCCTGAGAATATCAATCTGATCCAGAAGGGCTGCATCCAGAGTCACGGATGGTTCCGCTCGGGAATCACTTGCATCATGGTCCAAGAACGAGGTCGGACCCGAGTCACTGAGAGATACACCGTTGTTTTGCCAGCAACCGCCTGAGAAGCTCCCCACAACGAACCCAGGAACGATGCGACGGATGGTCTCGCCACGCTGTTGTCTTGCAACTTCGACATAGCCGTAGACTCCTTGCATCACGCCGTCTGCTTCTTGCAAGCATTTGTGGATCGAATCTGGCCCGGGCCAATCTGCGGCGGCAATGTGGGAGGACAGGACGAGTTTCGAGAATTTGGACATCATATCCCGGAAGTGGGGATACAGAGCCTTGTTCGTGGAAATGACGGATGGGTTTCCTGAGTGATTGTCGGTCGTATCCGAACCAGCCGCGAGCAACATGCGCAGATGATCGGATATATCTTCCGCTTTCCTCACATATTCCGAGCGGTCGCCGTTCAAGAGCGTCTGCCGATAAACCTCCACGGCGTGGCGCATATTATCGACAAGCAAAGGCCAGGTAAGCTGAACCGAGACCCCATCATCAACGAAATGTGACGGGACTTCTGAGGAAACCGAAGGCCTGTGGATGTGATCGGAGAGGGAATTGTTGCTGCTTGCGGCAGATTCGTAGAGCTTATGCAAGTTGAGAAGGGATTGGTGTGAACTGTTCCCATCGTTAATGGACTTGGTCGCCGACGGTGGATGCAACGAGTCCATGGAGGTGGCGGGAGAAACGCCATCCAAGTAGGACTGGCGTCTCCGAGACATGGAATCGCGAGAGGTGAGCATTAAAGACTCGCCCTCCGCTTCGGAAGCCGAACCATCGTAATCATCCTCGTCGCGCTCGAAGCCACGAGCCATCATCTCCGGCGGAGGTCGTGTCTGGTCGGGCACAAGAAAGTTACTGCGATCATAAGGGCCGGTCTCGTTTGCCGCGGGGTTCTCGAACGGCAATTCCATGGTGCTATAGCCGGTTAGAGTGTTGAAATAAAATAGGCGGCCATCTGGCGTCGCCTGTGGAATCCAAAAAGCGGCTTCTTCCTGCTCCTGGGGAGTCCCCGCACCCTCGATGGGCAGGATCGGCTGCGAGTCGCGCGGATTGCCTGCTGAGTCGACCTCATCACCTTCTAGCTCCTCCTCGTACTCCTCGCCGGCGCCTGACTCCGCGCTAACCTCTTCATTCTCATGAACCTGAACCTGCGACACTTGCTCTTCCAACTCATCCAGGTCGGTTATTACGGTGCAGTAGTTGCTGGGGAACCAGCCCCGAACACTGTTGTCGATGACGCCATCCCACCAACCGGTCTCGAGCTGGTTCAATACCTGGATAATATCGCCCCTACGGAAACTGAGACTGGTGTGGTCGTCTGCGTCATAGTCATACATGGCCCGCACGAACAGGGCCGGGGGCGGTTCGGGGCTGGGCGTAAAGCGCCCCTCGGTGGTCATCTTCATGGAAGAGATACGCCGGTTTGGCGATTGATCGGCAGCGAGGGCGGGCTTTGGGAAGGATAGGCTGTTCCCACGACTGCGCTGACCAGTAGTGGGGGTGGTGACTTGCTCCTCGGGGTACTCGAAAGCGGCCGTGTAGGTATTGGTCTTGGTCGCCAGCGCAGATCCGGTATCAACGGCCAATGGCTCTGCCGCCCGGGAATCGAACATCGGGTATCACAACGATTGACGGACCGAAAAAGAACGGAGGTGGAATAGGAATCGGCTCGCAGACGTCCCCGCAACGTATAGCTGGACGAGCTCAACGAAAGGCGTTGTTCATGACTAGTCGGCAGGTAACCGAAGAATGAGCGAACGAAGCGGAGGGGCGGTAAACGGAGTCGAGGTGGGTTGCAGAATAGCCTGCGGGAGTGATAGGTAGATAGCGGCGGTGGTGGTGGTGGTGGCAGGGAAGAGGGAGAGCGATATTGGGGGGGGTGAGGGAGGGGGGTACTGATTAGGATCAGACGGTGAATATGGGCACGAAAGTGAAGCCAGAACGGCGACAGTTCTGGTCTTGAGAATCCCGGGGTCAGTCTGGCATGGAGCGAGAGAAGAGAAGCAGTCAGGAAAAGGAGAGCAGCGGCAGATTGCAACTCTGCCAGGAGAGCGAGGGAGATTTAGGGAGGTTCCGACGGTTTACTAAGTCTTGGGGTGGTGGGCAGATTGGCATTATTGGTCTGGCTGGCGGTCGGGGGGACCCAATGGTGGAGTGACCATACCGCCCGTACCATACCGCCCATACAGCCATACCCGCCCGTTACCAGATGGACACGGCAGCCTTAATTCCTGTCACTTACAGTTTACAGTTTACACTTTACAGGATAGATACACTCTATGGAGTAGTGGCTACTCATTGTATGCAGTTGTTGGCTGTCAGTTTGATGTTTGTGTGGAGTGTGTATTTAGACACTGGAGTCTGGACAATCCTTCACCGTACATACTGCACACAGCACAACACAACTCAACACACTCTAAGCGTCTCCTAGAGTCCTAAGGTAGGTACAAGTCCGTGCTTGCAGCTCCGTTTCTTTTCTTTTCTTTTTTTATCCCTCAGTCAATCGCCACCCAACAGTGCGTCTTGAGCCCTCGTAGCCTATCATCAGCTTAGCGAGACCTCGTGTCTTACCTGAGTGAAGTGCCAAACCCGCGTGAATTACCCACGTATGCCAGAATACAGGCTCTTACGGCGGGAACAGCACGAGCCTTTTGAGGCTTCGGATGGCACCGTTCTCCATCACCCTCGATGCCTACCATTGGAAGACTGGCTGGGTAACCACTTCCCCGAACCATGGATGCTGTCAACGCGCTCCGTAGCAGGCAGATCCGTTATTGGCAGCAGATGGTGAGTACGTGCACATTCCGGACCCTAATGGGGTTCTTGGGGGTCAACCAACCTTGTTACCTGAGACGAGATTCGGTGACGGTACATCGGTCCAACCTGGTAAGTGGCCGTCACAGATTGGCTGGGCCAGGGGCTCGATATGAGGTGATCATTGGTTTATGAAGCGTGTAAATGTTTGGATAATTCCAGCCACTAGATAGATGTCTTTGGACTTTGGACTCTCTGGACCTCTTCTGGTCTCAACGATTCAACCGAGTCAGTCAGAGTCCACACCGCACGGCTGGTCCGTTCGATATGGAGGCATGTTCCGGTAACCGGTGTGATTAACTTCTTATCCATCCAAACCCACTCGGCGCGTCCATCTTACCTATCAGAGTTTCAGACTTCAGATTGCCGGGCCCTCCCAGTTTTGTTGTCCCCGTTTTGAGTGGGGACGTATCGTGACTCGCGCGCTGCACTGCAAGTGCTTCTGCAACGGTCAGGCTGGCCATTGGCGATATACTGGATGATCGAGAGTATGTACGAGAACACCATATTGATATCAAGCTCTTGCGGCTATACAGAGGAGCTATGCGTCGTACAGAGGAGATATACGGAATACCTTGCCATACAAAATCTGGTATCGATTGAGACCCCTGTCCATCTTCCGCCGCGGAAATGCAGGCTCTGGGTCTGTGTGCGCAAAAGCCACCAGGATTGTGAGAACGTATGATACATGATCAGTAACAGGACTTTCGTATCCTATGGTAAGTTTGCCTTGCCATCACCAGCTGTAGTTGCCTTAGGTCTTATGATTAATCTGTATGCGTAGGGATTAACACCACGGTACTTTTTCAATTGATCGATCATATAGCCACTGACGTCAAAGCAATAGTATAGGGACACCGTTTTGACATACATCAATTGAGTGAGATCCGAGATTCGAAGATACTGCACATATGAGGGCCAAAGGGTTCATTGTTGCTGAACCACTGCTCGATGACGATCTACTGCTGAACTGATTCAATCTACTTGGGAAATGATTTTCTTCAGAATCTTGGTTGTGACAATAACCGCCGCACAATCAATAGCTCAGTCGGAATTGAAATGACTAGGGTTCAATATCAACATGCAGATGATCTGCTGTCTGACAGCTAGCAGGGGTCTGTCATCTGCAGCGGTAGAATCCTTCAGCAGTAAGCACATTGGTAGTACTCTATTTCAGACTGCTTTGGTATGGGAAACACGAATCGATTCTCTACAAAGCTTTATAGGTATATGGTCAATACTTCGAGTTGGGCGAGCCATACATGAGTCATATGTTTCGCTAATAATGTACAGCTTCCCATGGTCATTGTCTAGAGAGCAGAGGGGACACTTGCTACCAACGATGAAGGGTTACTTCACTATGAGCATTGATGCCTATGACTCAATTGCTCAGATCCCCGATCCTTACGACCAGAATATCATCATTGAACCCTCTACTGCATCTCTAGAATGATGGTATTAATTTCCTGAGCGGAACAACTCAGCAGCTATTCCATTCCAAATTTCTAAATCTCCTGACTCGAATCAGCATTCGTCAGATATATCGGATATAAAAGTGACACATTCAACCTAAACCCATCGCTACTATCTGAACTAGACACCAGTCAGGCAAATTATTCAATATCATCAACATTAGCTCTTCGATATCTACATTGCATCTATACATATATAGCAAAACAGCGCTACTAAGATGCTTCTCTTGCTCTCTCCCTTTCAAACTGCCTAGCAGGCCATTAGACGACCACTTTTACACCTCAAACACCTTTTTCAACTCACTACATCGACCAAACAATATCCCATACCCCCCGACACACCCAACCTCCAACCCAACACAACCATTACCATCCAATCCAAATCCCCCATCCAGATACTACACCACCCAGAAATGAAGACCAACGCAGCGTATCATTACAACAATCCATACCCATACCCATACTCATACTCACCCCTTAACCCTCCTAGCCCCGAAAGGAAGTACATCCGATACCCCCTCCCCTCTCCTCCGCGATACCACTACCAAAGCAACAAGCAAAATAGCTAATCGGCCACAATCGGCTTTCATCCCGCCAAGCAAACCCATCCCATCCTTCCAGAAATTCTCACCCGGAATCCAAAATCCCTCACTAGCTGGATCCAGCCAAGACACAGACGCATCTAGCCACGTGCAATAACCACGGACTTCGGAAGCATCAGCATCAGTGTCAGACTCGGGGACTGATTTAATCTAGTCCCCGTGCTTCGGGGTCTAGTTACTTGGTTTGGTTGGTTTGGAATAGATATAAGCAGTATAGTATAGTATAGTATAGTATAGTATAGTATATGCAGAGATCCACTTTGATTATCGGGATGGGATGGATTGGTTTCCCGTTCGGGGATATTTCGGCCGGGATTTAT